GCTCAAGCGCGGGAAAGCGCGCGTGCATATACATTGTGAAGTGTGGGAATGTGTGCGGGAAAGCTGCGCCTCATATAGGAATAGCTGCAGATAGCATGCAGAGTGATGCTGTCATATCCTGCATTCCGGACCAACATCCGATGATGTTTCCATGCCTCATCCGGACCTCCTGTCCATGTCTCCAGACCCAATCCTCTATCCGTCTGGATCCCTGTACTCCTGCATCTGATATCTGGATGCCAGATCTCTGGATCCGAACCCAAACCTTAAATCAGCGCTCATCCCCTTATGGTAATCACCTGTCTCCGGACTTCCAAACATCCGGATCCGACCCGCGTCTATCTTCCGTGCCTTTTCCCTTTGTACATTCCTTCTCAAGTTAGACTATACTCATTTTCCGTACCTCATTTCATTTCTGGCTTTATTTTACTATGTTCTCATTTCCGTCTTCATTTACTATTTTCCGATAGACTAGTGTTTGACTTTTCTATATGCTCCGTCCACAGCCTCACATAGCTTCAGACTGCGCTGACTGATTCTCTGTTAAGTCCTCAGTAGTATATAAACCCCAGTAGATACTCCTGTATTTCCTTAGTCTGAATATCACATATTAGTCCTCACACTAGATCTCACACTAAGTCCTCACATCAGTTCTAGTCCTCCAACTTAGTCAATATCCATCTCAGGCCTAGGGAGGCATTCCCTAGGCCGGAGCTCTGCTCCTCCACTCCTCCGCTCCTCCGATCCACCATTCCTCCAAGTTTCTGGAAGTTCCTCTGGAACTTTCCCACAGTCCTCTGGACCTATTCTGCTTCGGACTTTGTCCTTGCAGCCTTTCCTCTATTTGCTTCTACTCAGAACTTGTCCTGAGTAGCCATTACACATATCCCTGTCAGGACGAAACTCCATCGTAATTTCCGGAAGTTCCTCCGGAACTTTCCCGCACTCATCCGGAAGTTTCTCGCACTCGTCCAGAAAGTCCTTCCGAAGTTTCCCACGCTTTTCCAGAAGTCCTTCGGACTTCACTGGACTTTCTCCGGACTTCATTCTGAAGTTAAGGGCACATACTCGGGTAAGGGGCGCAGCGCACGAGCTGAAGCCAAGCCCCTTGGAATTAGTCCTACCCTTTGTGCACGGTCTTAACAGATGCTACAAGTTCGCGCCATGTACTCCCTAGTGAAAACTGCCATATCACACAATGAGAGGCACAAGTCTCTACAATGTGGATGGGGATAGTGTGGACAGTGACTGACACGGAGACCTGTGGACTGCGAGAGCAGATGTATCAGTTGTAGAATGTACGCTCAGCATTGGTGATCAACAACTAAGTATTATCATGTACCTGTAGAACGTATGCTAAGACAGTTCGAGTGAGTATGAAACTAAGCGCAAGAAAACAAGAGCGCATACCTCAGCATTGGTGATCAACAACTGAGGTACGCAAACGACGAGGAGATATGATACTTATGGGGACAAGCAAGAACGGAGATTGAATACGTCAAGAGAAGCATCAAGAGATAAGAAGTGAGTCCATGTGATATGAAGTGGCAAGGTTGCGCCTCATACCCAAAATCAATGTTAATCAGTCTGAATGCAGAAGGCAATTCCTTCTTCCAACATCTTCCTTCCAACACACCCTCTCAACCCGCCACAAGTGATAGACCGGCACGATGAGCGACGAATGTAGGACACGGAAGAACTTTGGTGAAGATGTCGGCACTGTTACAATGAGTAGAGACCCAGATGGGTAAGAAGGTACTGGCCTCGATGTGTTTTCAAATAAAATGATAACGCAGATCTATGTGTTTCGTGCGTGTGTGATTAGCGGCTTCGGCAGACAGCGTGATAGTGCCCGTGTTATCGGCATAAAGTTTGAGAGGCAGAGTAAAGGTGATCTTTAAACATTTGCAAAAAGACTTAATCCAGAGTCCATCCTGAATTGCTCCTGTTAACGCCATATATTCTGACTCCAACGAAGACAACACTTGTGTTGACTGCTTCTTTGCAGCATGTGAGATGGGACCGCCGTGATAGTACCACACATAGCCAGTAACAGAAACACGATCTTCGGGGGACGTGGCCCAGTCAGCATCACTGAAACCGTGGATGCTGGTGTCTGCATTCTTTCCTCCGTAATGCACGCGATAGGACAAAGTGCCGGAGAGATATTGAAGCACTCTTTTTGCGGCAGCATAGTGACAGAATTTGGGGTTAGAATTATGCTGGGAGAGCTTCATGATGGCAAGGGCAATGTCCGGCCGAGTGTACATTGCAAGATAGAGCAATTCTCTGACAAGCTTACAATATTCAGACTGGAGATTGTCGAAGTGGGGATGAACATCAGTGGCTCAGCCGAAAGGAAAGGCTGGGTCCATGGGGAGAGATACGGGATTGCAGTGACAGAGGCCGTGTTCTTCGAGAAGGTAGACTATGTAGTCTTGCTGATGCATCCACAGCTCTCGAGTAGCGTGAGAACGGACGTACTGGACACCCAAATGCTTGACGACTGGCCCTAAGTCAGTGATTCTGAAATGTTCTGCAATTCGACCCTTGATCCAATCAAGGAACTTCCGATTGTTGCACCCTGCAAGGCTGTCATCAATGTGCCATGCGATGATGCAGATGACATGCACCCCCTCGCTGGTAACATGGTCATATACGAAGACCGTATAGTCAGCTTCACAACGGAGGAATCCCAAACGCACGAGAACAGCACGTAAGAGCTCGTACCAGTCATACACTGCTTGCTTTAACCCATACAGCAAAGATAAGAGATGGCATACGAGGTTTGCTCCACGTTTGAAGCCTGGCGGTTGACGCATGTAGACATCCTCGCGTAACTTGCCCCACAGGAAGGCGCATTTGGCATCGAAGCTATTGATCTCCCAGTTGTGAGCTGCTGCATGCGCGGAGAGGAGTCGGATGGAGGATGCTCTTGCGACTGGTGCGAACGTCTTGCCAAAATCAATGCCCAGCATCTGCGAGAATCCTTGCGCCACTAGACAGGCTTTGTGCATAGGCCCACCTTTCCCGTCCTCTTTGAACTCTAAGACCCATCTACATCCTATCGCCCTGCATCCCTCTGGAAGCTCTGTGAGCTCGTAGACACCCATTTCTGACATTCAATTAATTTCCTTGCACATGGCATTGAGCCAGTTGTCGCAGTCCGAACATTGCATTGCCTCGTCGAAAGTTGAAGGTGGAATCTTCATGTTGTAGTCTGCAGTGAGTGGGTTACGACGTGTGTCGCTACGAATGGTGACACAAGCAAATTCAGTGGCGATAAGATTAGCAAGCAGACGAGGATAGCCGACTTCATCCTCATCAGGAACAATGACATCGGGGTCTAAGTCAGCAGCGTTGGAGGAGGACACGGAAGGGACAGGTACGACAGAGGAGGGCACAGAAGGGGCAGGCACAACATTCACCCCCTGAATGCGTGCCTGACGGGCCAAACGATTGCGGTCAGGTGCCAATTGCTCCTGGAAGATCTGCCCACAGGCAGTGGGCAAGCAGACACGCTCAGAACGACATTACGTAGTGGGAGCAGCTGTTAAGACCATGCACAAAGGGTAGGACTGATTCCGAGGGGCTTGGCTTCAGCTCGTGCGCTACGCCCCTTACCCGAGTATGTACCCTTAATTTCAGAATGATGTCCGAAGAAAGTCCAAGGACGTCCAAAGCACGGGAAAGTTCGGAAGGACTTTCCGGACGAGTGCAAGTAACTTCCAGACGAGTGCGGGAAAGTTCCGGAGGAACTTCCGGAAATTACGATGAGGTTTCGTCCTGATACGGATACATGTAATGGCTACTTAGGACAAGTCCTAAGTAGAAGCAAACAGAGGAGAGGCTGCAAGGACAAAGTCTGAAGCAGAATAGGTCCGGAGCACCGCGGGAAAGTTTTGGACGAACGTCCAGAAACTTTGGAGGATTGGATGAGCGGATGAGCGGGGATTGGATAAGCGGAGCTCTGGCCTAGGGAATTTCTCCCTAGGCCCGAGATGGATATTGACTAAGTCGATAGACTAGAACTGATGTGAGGACTTAGAGTGAGATCTAGTGCGAGGACTAATATGATATTCAGACTGAGGAACTACAGGACATATACAAGAGTTTATATACTAAGGAAATAATGGATAGATCAGTAAGCAAGTGTCCGAGGCTATGTATGAAGCATAAGCAAAGTTATCAAGCGCGAGTCGGAAATGAAGCATAGGTTAACGGATCAGTAAGCATACCGGTAGTAAGTATAACCGAGATACCGAGGACAAGGAATACCAAATAGAGGAATAGGCTGTGTTAACGTTATATGCACAGGAATTGAATTAGGAAGCTTATCGTATATCGGATCAGATCAGATCAGATCAGATCGGACCGGACGTCCGGATGAGACATGTGGATATATGGGATATGACATTAGGGTGATGGGACAAAGGATGACTGATGCAGTCTAGCTGAGGTATGGAGGTAAAGGGATGTGGATGTGGATGTGGATGTGGATGTGCAGAGGTGCAGGGATCCGGATGGATAGAGGACTGGAGACATGGATAGGGCGTCCGAAGGTCCGGATGAGGTGTGGGAATATTGTCGGATGTAAGTCCGGAATACAGGATATGACAGCAGCCGTAGTTGTAGTATTTGACCTAGTATATATGGTAATTGCCGGTTTTGGCATAGACACTTTTCATGGCAACTACCAATTGCGCACTTTGACCTATGCGCTGGCAAGTACCGCTCATGGCTGAAACCCTCTTCCTAGACATCCCATTGCTTGTCGAAATACCTGCCCCAATATTTCTGAAATATATACAATATTATATTGTATATATTGTATATATATATACATATATTTACATTACATATATTACAAATACATATGTCATATTCGGTTGGTCTGCTAGGAACCTGGACTGATCACAATTGGTTGATACTTTCATTCTTCTCTATACTCGACTGTCTCAACATTTCACAAGCGTGCCAAGTCCTCGAAGAAGTTATTCATGCGACATGGCAAGCCGGAGAACGACGAATGGACTCGACTTCTCAGCCAACTCTCAGGTGTCCGAAGAAACAAGCCGAAGGCCTTGCAAGCGCACCAACGATGGTTGAAAAACCATTTCGAGACTGAAATTAAGTCACATTTTCTCAAAAAGTGGCACAAGGCTGGGCTACCTAGCCGGAAGATGGCGGCCTTCTGTGATCAAATCACTCGCAAATGCTTTAAGAAACTGTCCAAAGAAGAACAGAATGATTGGAGGGATAAAGCACAAGCCGAAGGTAAAGCTGCAGTCAAAGAATGGAAGGACCAGCTTGAAGCTCCTCCTTCTACATCTCCTGTCGATAGGCAAGCGTAAGTGTTTGAATCTCCTCGCTTGTATCTGTATTGAGGACTACGTTAGGGCTCTGGATAACCTGGCAGCTTTTGCTGGGCTGATTATTGCTGGCATGTCCGAAACTCTCAGCATGCACGTATCCCTTCTAGTCAGTGGACCTGAACCTCAGAAGCAAGGTAAAATCACTGTCGTCAGGTATGTTTTTTTTTATATCATTCCGACACACAACTAACGTCATACTGGAAGTATGCATGAGGGCGTTAATCTGCATCCCAAACCATGCAATTGGCAGACCTGCGATAAGACAAAATTCAAGATGGTCATCAAGTCTTTTCAAGATTACCTATCACACGCCTATAGGATGTTTTTTCTTTTCTTTTCTATAATCTAGTTTTATGATAAACACCATCAGCTAAAGAGGATTGCAATTCCCGTCGCCTCCCAGATGATTCGGACAACCTGTTCACTATTTCACAGGAAGGCTATCAATCCGATGCCGAGGATGATCAGGAAAATTATCAAGTGAATAAATCAACAACGACCAAATCTAGATCCCACCGAATGAAACCAAGGCAGCAAGTTACCAAACAGAGACGTGCTTCTCGGTGCATGCCTTCTGAACCTTCTGAGATGGACGAGTCGTCACTGGAATCATCTTCCTCATCCTCCAGCTCATCTCTGTCTTCCTCATCTTCAACTTCATCAAGCTTTACTGACAGTGAAGAAGAACACCATGGTTCCAGACCAGTGTTACCATTTTCACCACGCAAAGGAAACTATGGTGTCACACACTTTGATCCATGCCACAAAGCAAGAGCTCGCAGGCAACTCAATGCAAAGAGGAACTGCCATACATCTGAAGTCCCGGATCATGTCTCTGAAGCATTGTGTCCTGTATCTGAAGTGCCAGATGACACGGAAGAAATTGATGAGCTCGATGAGAATGATGCTCCTGACTCTGCCATTAACGATGCTGAGATAACTGTCGATCGCCCTCCTGTTCCACCTGGTAAATGTGTTGTTTAATTTGTCATGCAAGCGTACTAAACTGATATCTCTCTAGCGATCACATCTCCCGCCGTGACCGAGCTGCCTGATCACAACACCGTCGCCCGCCCACCTTTTGATGACAATGTGATTGATCCATCTCTCAGAGATGACCCTGGGATGGCTAAGATTCCTGAACTGGATCTTCACGAGTCTGTTGAGAATCATGACATGGATGAGACACTCTACCAAACAAAACACAGAAGGGGCTGCAGATGATCGTGACACCCTTCTCAGCACAACTCTCGACGAGCATACAGTTAGCTCAACTCACACTGCAAATGGTATGTAATGGGTGCTTCTCTTGTGCATTATCAGTCACTCAGGATTATGTACAGCTTCTTCTGATGGCAACCTATTGCTCGGCTTACCTACACTCCCACCCAGCCCGCCGTGGTTCAAAAATCCATTCCAGCAGTTGATGAACCCCACCCCTACTTCTCCTCGGTTGATCCAGTTGTTTGAGAAGCTGGTACACCTTGAGGATGCATCGAGCTTTGAGAACGAGAAAGCTGCCTTGGGATGCGAACATCATCCGGTCGAAGTCCACTGGTGGATTTCCCGTGGATGTAAAGGGAAACCAACTATACCCGATCTCAATACGTTCATATCACAATGGTGGTCCTGGTGGCTCACGCTTCAACCGGAGTGGAGAAAATGTCAAGCACCGACACTCTCGACACGTGCAATTCTCCCTCGCACAGATGACGGCAGTTGGGACTCCCTCAACAAACTGGGCGCAAATGGCATGCTTTCAGTTGTGGCCACCTTGAAATGGTGGGCAGACAGTGCTGATGGCAAAGGATACAAGGACTTGCGCTGGGAAGACGCTCTAGACGATGTCATGTGGGTTTTGGACCAGCTCATAGCAATCCGTGCCATGTTGAAATCTATGGCTTCCAGTGGTAACAAGAAATGGGGTTGTTTCGATACTACTCAGGCAAACACATCATCGAAGAAGATGCGTAACCGACACTAATTGACTTACTGATTATGGATCGGTAGGCTAGATATTGTGTTCATGTTTGCTTGAATACATGTTACATTGGACATTTTGTGTTAGATTACGTTTCTGTCTCACATGAAGTCAATACAAGTGCAAATGTTGAACCTAATTTTCTTATGTGCTTGCTGGTAAATCATGGCAGTGATAATATTATGTGTATTCTAAAAATGAACAAGTAGTTAGACTCCAGGAGCCTCCAGTCCCAACACCTTCTGGTATATCATTTCCCCAAGTAAATAAGCTTCGTCGAGGTCACCCGAAATAGCAAGTCTGCAAAGATCCTCCAGCATAGCTACCAGATGCCTGATGAATCTAGAAACCTCATCAGCAGCATGCCATTCGTCACATACACCACACATGTCGAAAATTTTATCTTGCCCATCCTGTGCCCATAACAAATAGGGCTCAATGAGCTTGAGTCAGTCTTCGGATATCTCAATGTCCCCGGCGGTACTGGTGCGCAACGACATAGCATATTTGCGGAGGACGCCCTTGACATATGTTGCAGGTATCCCAGAAGAAACGATTGCCAAGACTTTATTTTTTGCATTGCATATAAGCTCCAAACAATCAGACAAAGTTTTACTATGGTATATTGTTAATGACGAAGTTGATTATCATTGAGAGAATAGAACGTACATTGCCTCGAAGTCAACCTCATCATCTGATAGGTCCTTGGTGTTAGACTTGGCTGTGATGGAAGGAGTGTTGTTCATGCGAGAGAGACGACATCTCAGTAGAATAATATCTCGGTGCCTAGATACTTCAGATGCAGGGAGAGAAGCAGTAATAACAACACAACGTACTTTTCGTAGTATCTTTTGCATTTCTCGCGCGCAGCCTGCATCAGGAAAATCATAAAATTACTTACCACAACTTAAAGGAACTTTGTATGACTTGACAAAATTTTTAAGTACAGTTAAGCAAAATTTGTCTAAGTAGGCCCTGACTTAAAACAAGTAGGGTCTTCCGATGAATTAGACTTTGCAGCTCTTATTTCCAGTCTTATTAGTAACTAAAGTACACTCCGGGCAGTGAGTGCTAGACTATGACAGTGCTTGGTATAAAGCTAAGTCGAGTCAAGCAGATCAGTAGCGCTAAGGACAATTTTGTTTAAAAATTTGGCTCTAAATTTAAATAAGTCTGTGCTTTAAGGCTGTCAAGAGATATAAAGTCAAAAGTAAGTCAAAGACCAAGACACCTAGTAGTAAGGATAATGACTTAAAACTGTGTATTTCATGTACTTAATTCTTAAGTTTTACAGCCTGAATACTAAGGAGCTTAAAGTTTGCTAAGCGGTCACTCAAGCAGTGAGAAAGCGCCCATAGCAGCAGTACAAAAGACATTCATCATGATTCAAGTGCGAGTAAGAACAAAAGGGTGGCAGACAAGAGAAAACAAACATAATAAGGACTGTCAAGACATGCCTACTTGCAAGAGGCTCTAATGGATAGTAGTACTACTAATAGTAGCTAGTACAGCAGCGCTGCCAATGGTGACTCGATGGGCGCGGCATTGTACCAGCTCCAAGTCCACTGGCAAGAGTAGTAGTAGCAATGGTAGCCTACTACTAGCAAGTTAGAAGCTTAAATGAATTGAATATTAGCGTCAGGTAAAAATAATGAAAAAAACACTCACCATCAACTTGTCGGAGGTACAGGTCAGTATAAGACTCCTATTACTCTGCGCCAGAGTCACCATCTCCCTTAGACTCAGATTCGGTGTCTGATATATCAACTAGTTGAGCACGCTCATCCAGATCAAGGAGTTCATCTTCAGTGACATCATCAGCAATATCATCACAAGGCCGACTCTTCTTCTTCGAAAATTCCATTGCAGATGCGATGATAGTGTTGAATTTGTCATCGTGTGGAGAGCTGACGCTCGATCCCAGCAGCTTCCAGTTTAGCAGTAAATGCATCACTAAGGAATTCCCCACCATTATCTGAGCGGAAGGCAACAACACGCAGACCAGAACGTGTTTCCCACCTCGCACGAACAGTCTTCCACGTGTCCAAGGCTTGATCCTTGGTAGCCAAGAGCTGAAGGTCTAGAACTCCGGTGTGGTCATCAAGGAATATGATGAAATAATGTTTATGGTGAGGAGTGACGACCGGGATGGGTCTGCAAACATCAGAATGAATTAGCTCGAGGAAGCGAGAGGCAGGAGGGGAATGAGATGTAGGATGAGGCTGATGCGGGTGTTTGCCGATGATGCATGATTCACAGCGAGACATGGCCTCAGTGGAATCTAAGGAAAAGCCGTGAGCGGTGTGAGAAAGACGACAGACAGACTCTCCACCAGTGTGACCCATGCGGGTGTGCCAGAGATCATATGTCAGTGGAACCCATGCAAAAGCGGATACCTCTGATGGTTCAGAGACCAAAGGCACCAACTCCTGAGGGGGGATGAACTCGAGGTCGACATAGAAGAGATGTCCCGACATGGGAATCGTGCCGAGCGATTCTCGTCTATACACAAGCTCCCAGTGAGCAGGCTCACCCTGAAAATTACATTCCCATTCCTTAGATAGCATCCACCTGACTGAAAGAAGGTTCAACATCGCTCCAGGTGCGTGAAGGCAGTTTGAGAACCGCACTCAATGCCGGGCACCACCAATTTTGAGCCATGTGACGCAATCACCACGGCCAGACGTGTGAAGTGACCCATGGTTTGCAGTCTTGACGACGACAGGATCCTGGGTAGAGTACGTCCAGAACATAGCATGGTCACAGACAAGGGTGCTGGTAGTTCCTGAGTCCAAGATGGTGGATAACATGTTAGCGTGAGTCGAAACATCAGGGATGTTGTTGTGCAGCTGTTCAATGCTTGCACATGATAGATCGTGTGTGTGCGCAGCCAGCACAGTGATGGCAGGTGGTGAGTCTGATGGTGCTGCTGAGGGAGTGGGAGGTGTGCCTGATGCAACCGCCACTGTCTCCTTCTTCTTCTTCTGCCAGGGCGCCTGTCCTGCCATTCCCCCACCTTCCCGGAAACAATGCTCCTTGTCATGATCTCCTCGTCCGCATCCGGTCGTTAGGCAAAAAATACCTTGAGGGTTGTTCTTGTGTTTCCTCAAACCGGTAATGGAGTTGACATTGGAGGTGGAAGAGGTGGACACAGAGTTAGTGTATTTGGATCCAGGACCGGGTGTGCCGATGGGATGAGTGTTGACCATGCGTGCAGCCTCTGCGGTGATTTGTGCCATGCAGCTATCAAATGTGAGACTGTTTGTTTGGAACGAAGCAGAAATGGGATTTCCACTGCTGAGTGCAGAACTGATAACAGTGGCAGAGAAGCTGTCGTGCATGCGTTGCTCAAGCTGAGTGCAAAACAGCTGCCAAGCAGAGGATGTGGGCAGCCCAGAAAGAAGATTAAACACGGCTTCTTCATCAGAATAGGTAGCCCCCATTCCAATGAGACGATCACGGCAGCTGATATGTTGACCAACGTAGTTGCTTGCATTGTGTGCGTCTTTCATGCGAAGTACCTGAATCCGCCTGCGAATGACAAATTGGGAGCTAATGTTGTTACGATGGAAGTGGTCTTGGAGAATCTTCCATGCTTCACGCGCTGTAACTGAAGTGTTCCGAAGAATGAGGAGGTGAATACTCGGTGCGAGTTTGCAAAGGATGATGGTCTTGGCCTTGGAATCATTGATGAGCCAGGCTCGTATGGCTGCCTTCTCGACATCAGTAGGAGTTGCTGGAGTAGCCGCTACAGGCAGGACCGAAGCCGCTCCAAGAATGTCGCCCGGGCCTGCGTTTTCAGTGACATGACACCAGAGGTCATCGTTTGTTAAGACGAGCTGCACCTGCGTCTCCCAGGGAATGTAATTCTCTGCTCCCGTCAGCTCCGGTATGTGGTCATACTTTCCCATTATTGGTGCGACACGTCAGAGTGAATTCAAGCAGATGAAGAGAAAGGTTGAGTTGTTCCAATGAGAGGGAGTCCGTATGTTTCCGGTTTCTGTGTCACTTAGGACACAGGGCTCATAACCTGTAGAACGTACACTCAGCATTGGTGATCAACAACTAAGTATTATCATGTACCTGTAGAACGTACACTAAGACAGTTCGAGTGAGTATGAAACTAAGCGCAAGAAAACAAGAGCGCATACCTCAGTGTTGGTGATCAACAACTGAGGTACACAAACAATGAGGAGATATGATACTTATGGGGACAAGCAAGAATGGAGATTGAATATGTCAAGAGAAGCATCAAGAGATAAGAAGTGAGTCCATGTGATATGAAGTGGCAAGGTTGCGCATACCCAAAATCAATGTTAATCAGTCTGAATGCAGAAGGCAATTTCTTCTTCCAACGTCTTCCTTCCAACATCAGTCATCCCGGAGGCATCTGCTGTGCCAAGTAGTGTGCCTATGGGAGGACACTATCAGCCAAACAGACCCAGCCACTCTGAGAATGCACCTACACCCAAAATAAGGAAATTAACCCTAAAGCTAGGTAAACCACCTGTAGAGTCACTGGAGGGCGGGTTAGTGAACAGAAAGAAAAGGAAGAACTCAAGCGGCACACCAGCAAACAGACACCCACAAAGCCACATAACTACAGATGTCATAGCCCAGACAAAGAACCAGGCATCTTCAAACAACTCTAGTCAGAAGCATGTCATGGGCCAGACCAGTGATGTCAGTGATGTCACATCCCAGACTTCCAATCAAAGAACCCTGGATATCATGTTCAAGTCTAATTCAGACCCAGCTGAAACGGCCACAAGAGACATATTCTTCAAATCCCCACCTTCTTTAATGTCTGTAATTGCACTTGGTGACCCATCCATCAATATCCACAAAAAGATCACCAGACACTACCATGAAGACAAATTCTTCTCTAAAATGCTGGACCAACCACAGAGCTTTAAGAATTTCAAGATAAGTGCAAGCACGTCCCACTGTATCCCCTGCAGATGAGCTGGCTGCATTAAGGGCAAGAATCATCGATCTTGAGTGAGGGAATGCTCACAGCAATCCAGCTCTGGCCAGAGTGGTTCCTTCTCAGCAAGGCTTGGTGGCTGACCTAGCAGAGGTAGAGTGCATTTGTGCAAGCCTTGCGAGCACCATAGATGATTCTAAGAAATTAACTTTACCTGCCCTTTGCCCTGGGCACAAAGTTGGCACCCTGAGCCTCTGTAAGTCTGTCATTGTATTGCTTTCGATAGATTCATTCTTGCTGTTTCTTTGTTATACTGCACTGCTTTATAGCAGCCCACCTTTTTGGGGCTACAAATATCTGTTGACTTTTACCGTGCACCATACCGATTTCGGGTGCCACCATCTGTCTGCCCTTACACTGTCTCTCCAAAAGTAGAAGAGGCTTCTAAAGCATACCACTATACACCTTGTACAGCCTTAACACATGTGGCTTGTTCCAAAGCCTATCTGTGTGGCAAAGATTCGTCGTTCATATTCACTTCTGATAGGCTCATAGCCAAAGGTCTGGATCATTCAAACAAACTTTCAATTTCTACTGTGGATTGGATAGCTGCAGCAAAGGCTTCCGAGGAAAGGATGGCTCGCCATTGGGGCACTGACAGAGAGTCAGCCCTAGTGTCCCACCACTTAGTTGTCCTTGATATTGGGCACACTCATGGTTGGTCAGTTGCAATGCACTATGATGTGCAGCAGCGGGAACTAGCTTATGCGAACCACAAGCACAATTTGGCTGGCTTAGATATAGCCGTTGTAGAGACTCGCGCGTCTCAATGCCAAATATGTGCCCCTTTACCCACATAACTTCCATATGTTCCAGCTCTTATCCATAGGATCAGTCTTGTGTGCACTCGCGCACGTTCACGTGCCTCACCCTAGGTCTTCGCGCTCCTGTCCGTCCATCCGTCCTATGTCCTCGCTGATTTACTGGTGCGTTATTCTTATCAGTCTCATTGAATTAATGTATCATCGGTCCAATTTCCGCGCTTACACGCAGAACACCTATCTTAGGCTTTAGAATATATTTAGAGTTGATATAGTTACTCGGCTCGGTACCGCGCTCGGACGTGCCACATAGCGTAATTCTCGGGCGCAATTCCCCTTCTTAAAAAGAGGGAAGGTTCTTTAGGATGGGTTTTTTTACTTTTCCCCTTATCTCAGTATACTGCAAAGTGTATATTCCACCTCAGTACTTGAAATCAGATTATACTCCTTTATCAATTATCATCTGCGCTTCTGCTATCTTCTTGAAGACTCTTTTCCTTATCGCTTGAAGCGCGCCTCCGCCTACACACGCACTATCATCACACCTCTCGCGTGCCTTCGTGCACATTATCTTCTCGCACCTACTAAGCGCCCGCCTAGTTGACAGAGTTTTCCTCCATTTTATTAGCGAGGAACTTCTCTCAGTAGCTGTCCTTTGGGTCGAGTCATATCCTCATATCCAGGTCTTGCTGTAGAGCCCCCATTGGTTTTTATAGTTTTCACCTATAGTCAAGATTCCTCACCTTCACCGTGCTGTCTTGCTACTTGAGGGTCTTATATATTTTCATGTAAAATGCAGTGACACCACAACTACACTTTGATAAGACAAAAGCTGCCAACTCCTCAAGTACATGGTCAACGGATTTTCTACTTCTCAGTTGATAATGTGCTGTTCATTGGAGGCAAGACTATATAGTCGGTCATTTGGTTGAAGCGATGGACTGTTGAGATGAAATATACAATGACTGATATAGGTAAAATCCTAAGAGAAGTCACTGAAATATGATGAAGAAGGTGATGGACAGTGATACAAGAAACTATCCTAAATGAGTAGGCTGAACACAAAGATACTTCAAGCTAGAAGGATGTGAGAACCTATGACTAAGCTGGACCTCAGGCTGTGGCTGAAAGGTCTTGCAAACAAAAGATGGGAATGCTGACTAAGCTTTTCCCAGACAAATCCTTGCTAATATAATCACAACAAGAATACAACAGATCTAGACCACCTAAGGACTAGATAACTAGATACAAGTGATAGACTAGCTGGAGTCTAACAATAGTGAGTAAATACAAGACTAAGATTACCTAATCTTAGTGTAGACTAACTAAGGGAAATACTGGTCCCTTGCACTTCCTGTGACAGACAGGTGAAGTGGGAATTCTCCTCTGTGAGAGACAGATAAAGTGGAAAATCTCGTTCATTCAGTGGAGAAGAGGCCCTCCTTTTATACATTTGGCATAGGAAAGATACCTAGGTGCCAAATGAATATCTGGAATATTCTGCTCCACTTATTTGTAATCAAATATTACATGTATACTATTAAAATAAAAATAGAACTGACTCAGTCTGATCGATCTGATCACCAATATGCAAATAGTGGTGCTAGATGACAAATTGAGCAGTGAAAGAGAGTTCATGAGTCATCAGATTTGACTAAGCTTGATCTTGCCAATTTCTGAATAATCACATGTGAACTCATTATGTAAGTTTTTCCCTAGAAGAGAAAACTAACATCATGAATGTAAACAACTATGAAACATAGACAAACAATTGCAATCATAATGAAAATATTATGTAAGAAACACAGTCTTCAGACATTCAGCAAACAAAATCAAACCAGATCCTAATACAAATTACTCAAGTCTTTCTGCTTCTTTTCTTCAACTTCCCATCTATTGCCTCTAAGCAAGCCTCCTATGGACAAAGCTAATGGGCTAGATTGCTGTAGGCTTTTTATATATATGAATATGTCCATTGGCAGCACATAGTATATGGTATCCGCAACAGCTTTAATGTTGGCGTCACCGACCTCCCATCTAAAACTTACACATTTTGACAATCATACTTCCTCACGGCTCAATCCTTCTGTTATCGATGTGCACATCCAGAATGCATAATTGTTCTTACTTAAAAACAATCTGAGAACTCCGGTTTCTCATCTAAGTATGCTATCTCTGTGATAAACTTGTTGTTCATCACAGGAAGTTGGATGATCAAAAAAAACCTACTAAGGGATCCTCGACTGGATGAAACACTGCATTTCGTCCCGCCAATGTGTTACTTATGGAATATAGCCTACAGAATGGTTCTGGTTTTTTGTCCTTGATATTGGTAACCCTGACATTGTTTTCATACCTTTAGGAACGAGAATTGTTGCTAGACTACTTGTCGTGGGATGACCACTTGATCTCAATATGTTGAACCATTCAGCACTTCAAGTTCTCATTTGTAGATCTCATATCGATATCGTGGCCATCCATGCTCTATGATTTGTGGGCACGCTATCCTGTCGAGGTCAGTCATCCTCACGTCATACCTCTTGCCTTGCTCAGCAAATGAGTCTTTTACGCTGTCTTTACTCTCGCATCTCCACTCTCCATACTTTCAACTAGTGTCTGGGGCCCAAAATCGAAAATGGAATCAGGACCTGAAGCTGAAGCTGAAAGGAAGGTCTAATGCGGCGATTCTGCAGGTTGCCTCATGTCAGTTCTTAATTAAGATGATTTATGCAATCTAGTTAATCAGCCCTTTGTTACCCTCAGCTTCCCATGAATTTAAGGCTCGATCCACGCCCAGTCCGTGTACTTCACTCTCTCCAATGGCTCCCTCTCGCAGCGCATTGGACCGTGAGAGGCACCTTAGCAAACATTATAACCTCCGTTTGTCACCCTTGAAGTTGAAATCTTTCTTACTCAGCTCCAGGCCATTTTCTTGTACTGACAATGACAACGAATCATTGCGGGTCGAGGTCAAGATCACGCATGAGGTAAGTTTGTGTGTGAAGTCCCTTGTCAGTTACTGATGTTGTCTCATTTCAGGTGTGTCTAAAATAGGGACCCTTCTCAGTGCCAACGTCAAGCATTGTTAATGATCATTCTTTTCATTTATAATCACTGCACTGCCAGGAGGTTGCTAAAGCCAAGTGAGAGATCAAAAAGGCTTCCATGGAACGAGACAATGTCACTGCTGCACACCAAAGTGTATGCAACCTTCACCAGCTGGCCAATTCAAAGACTAACTCTTACTGCGCAGTTCTTGCGAACTACAGATGTCGTGTTACAATGTTCGATTTGCTGGGTGGTTATCAAATGGCCTTTCACATAAGTCACCTTTGAGCCTGATTCTTGAATGCTACTGATGCGTGACTTTCATCTGACAGCCTGGAATGTCACCATACATTCTGTTATCATTGCCTAGTCAAATCATTTCATAATCACATTAGGGCGCGTTTATCAGACTGCACCAATGAAAGACTTCCCGAGCATTTCCACAACCATCTAGCACCGTTCACCACTGCCGAGGTCAAGGAGCTGTGCAATGGCCCAGGCACTATCATCCCTGGTCGCTTTTATATCTGTCCCACCTGTCCAGCTTATGTCAGGAAACCTCCAGTCGAAATTCCTTTGCTCCATGAAGTGGTCGACAATATTACTGGAGCACATCGTGCTGACATAGAGCGTACCGAGCGAAGAGTACCTGCAGATCCAGCTGCACAGTGGGGTATGTTCTTTGAGTAGTAAGAAATGTATGACTATTTCTTTGTTGGTTGGATTTCCTTGGACGCACACTACTATGATTACATAACTTTAACGTGTCGTAGTAGTAGGTTAATTGATTCCAAATCCTTATCGTTGTACATGTCTTTCCTGCACAAGTATTGTATCCCCTCGTTCTGTTACCAATCATAAATGCATAATGGACTATCGAGTCCACTCCTGGCGCCCTCATGATTATGTAGAGATGTATGTCCATGAACATGGGCCCCAGTGAGGAATGCCAGCTTGATTCTGTCCTGGCAATACAGAGGGAATGCCCATCTTCCTGTCACCATGTCGCTTCAAACCCACTGTACCCAAGTTTGGTGTGTCAAAAATTTCTCCTGCAGAGTTTGTTGTTCTTCACTTTTCTGATGTGTGTGACATTTGTCTTGACAGAGGAACCACTGCACATGCCTCTGCGTCACTGTGTGTGAGGGAGACGTGGTGGTTTATCATTCCATCCTTGCAATCAACGACAATAATGATAGTCCTGGATTAAAGGTGGAAGACCTGGTGTTCTATATGACTGGTGGGTGGTGACTCGGACGATATGCTCAATGTATGATCTATCTCTGAGGTTGAACGCAATCTATTTTTCATTTGCACTGCTGACCTGATACAGGGTGCCAGAAATGTGCCAATTACTACCACTCTTGGTCTATTTGGGAATCTCTGGATATACTGCATACTGTGAATTGCCATCAACATGTTGCATTGTTCTACATACTTCTTGTGAAATCTGATTCCCTCATTGTCACTGGCACTGCGGGGTGAGTTTATCTTGATTCATACATTTTTTAATAGTAATATTTATACAGGATTGTCCGCAACGTCATCAAGGCAAAACAGTGATGGCGATCGCCGGGTCAGAATCGCTACAGACACATCAACAAATCATTGTACCTTCTCACAACCCCAATGCCCTTGCATCTACCCCTGGCACCAATAGTACGCATGTGCATTTCCTCATGACACTGGAGCAGGCCAAGGGGCCCGCAGCCCAGAGACAGAGCGACCAAGCTGGAATGAGGTGAAGCTACACGACAACATGCTAGCAACTAGTCTATGTGCTGACTAAGCTGTGGAAAGGGCCGACAGGCCCCTGGTGTGTAGCTCCTGCCCTAGAACCCCCTACTCCAACACCCTACACGGCGTAACTTATGCCGCCTCAACTCGCGATTCCATGTGGGTATTTTTTTTTGGTTTCTTTGCTAACGACTTATCGCCCTTTGTGACAATGCTTGCCATCATTGAATATTGATCCACCTTCTAGCCGTTGTATTAGATGTGACTGGATATTGTCGATGCATGGGGAATGTGGTAACATTGCATTTCTGTAGATTTGATTGTATTGCAAACTCATACTCTTGATAGGAATCAGAAATCGGAGCATGAAATCAACATCTGTGATTCTGCCTCATGGCAGCCACGATGTGACTTGGTAGTAAGAGGCTGGGACTTGATGGGTTTAATTTGTATTATTTATGCAGTCTTTGTCCATCAAGGTTCTGATTCCTCAGTCCTTTGTGATCTTCAAATTCCTGCATCGTCCAGAGCATTCAAGATCCATCCAATGCCTCCTTCTTGCAATGAAATGAACCGCCAGAGCCAACTCCATAAATTGTATAATCCTCATTCCTGAAGGTACCTTTTTGCACATTGTAAAATTGTTGATCTTCATCTCCTAATCTCCATCCAAATCATGCAACCTGTTCCTGTACCCCAGAAAAGTGTAGTGGGAAAATTAATATCTGTCAAAGCTCCACTTGGTTGCCGGTCCGTGTACATGTCTGTAATGTTAACTTCTGAAGCATCGTGATGACTATACTGGTGATGTTGCTAACGATCTGGATTTTCCCTCAGTTCTTTCTTTTGATGACACTGGATATTATTGTGGAGTAGCAAGGCGACCTGCATGCAGTAGTGAGAAACAGTTGTGGAGAGAACAAATGAAAGATAATGATTGAGAAATTCGAAGGGACAGGTCTGCATGAAGGGCCATTGCCCTGTTTCCCAGTAACTATAGAATCTGTTCTTTTGTTTATTTGGTACATGCCATGATATTTGCAAACTGCAGTCCATTTATCTTGATGGAGATGGCGAGAGCAGGAAATTCAAAGAACACCGGACCATAAAAATTATAATTGAAAATACAGCAACTGCAACATGAGCCAATGGATGAAGTACTAGGTTGTAAAGAGGCGAAGAAGTGGGACTCGGAGGTGCAGTATTGCGCCCCGGATGTGTTGTTCACACTTGATGTACCACAGATGGCCGAGAGGGTAGGAATAAATGACGCAGATCTCTAAGCCCTACACATTGATCGCACGTAGGGTCTTCGACACTAACACAGGAACAAATAGTTTCAGACTTTGCCCTGACTGATTCAACTTTAATTTCCCTGAAACCTTCAGGTGTCCCTTGTACATGCTTATTGTCTTTTGAGTAACCCAGCGAGGTTCTCCAGTTGCACTGAACCAGAGGCGATGCATTGGAAGAAGAGGATGAACTTGGTTTTCTTGAGCATCCTCCCAGGCCTGCTGAGCACTCCATATCCACATCTGATGTGTAGTCGGTGTAGAAAGTGACTGATGGATGTAGAGGTCCCCGCACTCAAGCGACTCACAAGGCGGGGGAGCAAGCAGAGGTTCACAGCTGCGGGAATCATACCAATGCATGACTTGATCAAGTCCACAAATTTTATGCTCAATGCGACAGGCACTGTACTGAGAGGCAGTGCTCTGAGGGTGATTGAAAGTTGAATTGTCAGTTGAGGTGGACAACCCTGCATCAGGAATGAGTTGATGTTCAATGGGTACAACTGGAAGGCGTGATTTTGGTGATTCCTGGGCTCCAGAGGCAAGATTATCAGTAATCACTCGAGGGGACAGAGAGCAGGATGTCATTGTCAATGATAGGTTGCAGACATGGAAACCCGGGGAAGCCAGAGTTTGGGATTGTATTGGGGTGTTATTTGGACCACAAAATTGAGGGGATGGATGCTGAGAGGAATCTGGGTTCATTGAAGCAGGGCGACTTTGTAGCATAGATTGTTCAGTGGAGCGAACAGAAAGTGGTGCAGAATTTCCATGTCGTTTGTGATGAGACAGCGCCTGCTTTTGGAGACACTGCGTGAGGCTGGGTAATATTTCCTCAAAAGACTGGTGGTGAATAGGGAATGGCTAAGGATATAAGTACATAAGCTTTCCTGCCAAAATATTTGAATTGCTTACGTCTAATCCCCGCCTAGATACAGCAGAACTCAGATATACATACAGTTCCCCAGGCTTTGGGAAAGATTGACAGTGAACTGCCACAGGCTGTTGGAGAGTTAGCACAACTCTACATATTGTAGATAAAAACTGATATCGCGCTCTTTCCGAAGTACCTGCTGGTATGGCATGTTGATTGCGCAAAGAAGACGGCGAGAATTTGTACTAGTGTGGTGTTTCATGTCTAGCTGAGCTGAGAGGCTATCAACCAGAGGAAGTATTGTTGTCAATATTGCCTGAGATTGCTATTTTATAGTCAGCAGTTACTACCTAGGCCATGTGTCGGACTAAGGAACAATGAAGGTGAGAGGCTCGACAACGAGTGAGCCTACTATCAGCGTGAACGCAACTACAAAGAGACAAAGAGACCTTTATGATTCAACACAGGGAGGGCTAAAACAATGGCACTTTTGTCCAACTGTGACCTAGCTTAATATTAAGGCATGGAAGGTTTGGAATCTGGACTGTGCCAATGCTACTTCATTGAATTTTCACACGTCCTGATGGGTGCCACATCTACTTGGTAAAATTTGGATTATTTACTGGGCCTGCAGCTCGTTTATGTAAAAATGAAGGCAAATTCATCATTTATATGCCAGGGATGTATTAACGTGGCACCGCTGATACCATCCATTTCCATCCTTCACTTTCCCATGTGGTGTTCTGCCTGCAATATGTCACTCACACTTTGTATTGTCTCCTGTGATCCACCTGAGGATCTGTAGCTAGAATATATCGAGCAAGGTGTATGTGATTCAGTAGTCACCTGGGTGATTCACGCTGCCTTGGGTGCATTGCATGTGCAACACCATGAGAAACTCCCACAGGTCCGTAGAGAATTGCACATCCCAACTAGGGAGTTGGGAATTTCCTTCCCACGAACGACCGTGTTTTCCTTCCTCAGTTTGTTCTTTCATAATATTTGTGCTCTTCAACTATACCATTTTTTATTGATTGTAAGGTGACAGGTGCTCTATGATTTCTATTGGGACTGTACAATGGCTAATCTGTTTCATTTCATTGTAGTGGGTGACGGGTCCTGTGAGATACCCTCCATGCTGTTCAGCAACACAATCAAACCAAGTGTCTTTAAGCAGGGCTGTGCAGGCTAACGGACACCATTGGCAAGTGGTCTTCAGCCAAGAAGGTATGAGGATTATTTGATTTATTTCGTCTCTGATGTTTGTGTAGACAGCAGTGCAATATGGTTCATTATATCTGATATTTATCACAGTTCTGACATCGGTCATAATGTGGTGTTGAATATTCATACGTGGGCTGATGCTATGTTGTGCTGTTATTGATGGACATCAATCACCAAGATGGAACTCAGTCTTTGTTTTCTGGCGATGTCAAACAGTTACAGGGTATTGCAATGTTTTAATGGTATGCCTTATGATGGAGGGCTGTCGTCTATCACACGGCAGATGCTTCATCTTTTGTTGGTTGGCTGATATTGTATTGCTTTTAGAGTTGTCAATAAATGGACGGGATTGTGGGCTCACCAGGGATGGTCTGTCACAGCTCGAGTTCATTTGTTGTTCGTTGCACAATTGGCAAATCACCTTGAAGTTAGCGTGGAACATCTGTTTCAGGCGACGGTGCATTTAGCGGGATCGATGATGTATGCGCTGCTGCATGGCACTAGGCGTCCATTATGGGCTTTGTTTATGACTTTCCATCCCGCTCAGGCATTTTTGTTGGAGGCCAAGGACATTCCGGAGTTACTTGTATCCTTATGTTCTATCCGTGATTCTTATGAGATGCTCTTACAGATTGTTACAAGTAACATCAGTCATGTGGCCCCCCTATCATTTTCCCTTCATCCTCACTCTCGCCATCTACCGGCTCATGCTCCTCTACCGAATATCCATTGACCGGATCCTCAGGACCATCCTTGTCCCGTGTCTCCACCCCCTTTACGACCTTATCTCTGATAATGCACCAATGTGCGCACGTGCCTTGGCACTATGACTCGTCCTGACTCATGCCACCAATGTGGCTTTCCTTTTCTATTCTTTCTGACTTGTGCATGCTGTGCATTGTATCTTTACTGTTGGGTCATTCCAATGTTTGTCAGTCTCATTCCACATACCTACCATCACTAATCAGGCTGTGTTGCCAGCATACCTATACCCTATTTGTTTCCCCTTTGCCCATACCTACAGTACAGTAACCCAGCCCTCAACCCTTTCTACTTAGTATAAGTAGTTGGTCATCCTGTACTAGATTCCCTAACTTGAATCTACTCAATCTTCCCTGGAACATACTTCTCTCTGAAGCTCCCTCAGCTTCAGTCTCTAGTATCTTTTCTTAGGTGCTCTTCACGCCTAAGTCTATCTCGATTGATAGTCTCATCGTCAGACAAGATAGTCCGCACTTTGAGCCTAGTGACTTCAAAGACCGTCATCTTAGAAGTCACATGACACATGTGTCTGTGATATCTGCTAACTCAATGTCGCCAGTCTCACTCGCTATACTGGATCCTTCCGGTTACATCACAAACGTTAGCGGACGACGCCCCTCTTAGGACTCCGCATAACAGACCTATTTGAGTGCATAACACAGATCACCTGCATGATCACTTTTGTGAAGGGAGACCTGATGGAGATCGCAATTACGATGTCGCCCTTGGTTTCATTAGTGCTTTCATGGTAGAGTTCATATGCTCATCGTACACCATGAGTTATACACATCACGATTCTTTGGCACATCAATGCATGCAGTGATTACCTGAGAACATTCAAGTTAGCATTTGCAAAGCTCACAAGCACAGTGAAAGTTGTAGTCATTCTCTCCTTTGTTAGACAAATGTACGACTTCCTGTATGATCTTCCTCACTCTCGCTTTGCTATCAATGCTCTATGCTTTTCGCAGGATGGCTGTGTACTTGCTAGTGGTGATGATGATGGATATATCCGGCTCTTTGATTTTCCACTAGGAAAGGAATTGTGTAGGCTGAGGGTTGCTACTGCTGTAACATCACTTCTATGGCATCCAAACAAACCTGATGTTATTCTTATTGATGATGCAAGAGGCATTGTCACTGTTATGAACCTTCATGCAGAAGTGAGTGTACTAATAATGATACCATTGGGTTTGTATCTGATGTCTATCTTGCCTCAGGCTCAAGGTTTTTCTCTTCGCACTGGGGTTAATGCTCCAGTAGATACATTGGCCTATGACGCCTGCAATGAGTGTCTTGCTGTAGGAGTTGGTACTGATATTGTCCTATTTAATCATCCTGAAGGTGAATCGAAACCATTCTGTAGGAAATTACAAAGGCTAAGATTTGAGCAGACCCTTGGACATTTGGTTCAAACATTCCGCCACCACCTATGGCAAGCATGGATGATAACAGGCTCCTACTACCCTTACCCCGTGCTCTGAAATTCAGTGACAATGGATGTTCTCTCATTGCAGTATATTTTCAACATGGTATTGTGTGAGTGATGTCATTTTACACTGGTGGAAGGAACTCAATTGATCATTATTCAAGCTCCTGGCAGATAAAGTCGCTTCAACCAGAATGGACCATATGGCCAAAAAGCACACATGTGTAAGTGTGTTATTTCAGGATTGCAATAATTAGGTAATATAGATGGCCAATCAGTGGAGGGGCCTGTTTCTCAGCCGATGGAAAAACCGTCATTGTGTCAAATTTTTCTGATGGCTTCGATTGTTACAATATCAGCAATGGCAAGCACTTGGCCAACCTCCCAACCCCAATCATTCACAATGTCCCGCTACCATCACTATTCATTGAAGGTGATAAATCAATATTGTGCGGAAGCTCCTGTGGATATGCCTTGTTATATTCAGGAAACATGAATACCATCCTTCAGGTACTAAGACATAGTGGTATGAACCTTGAGATTGATAGTACACCAACTGATTTTGATGCACCCCCTAGAACACGACATGATTCAGGCATTGGTTCGTTTGTAGTCACATTTAGTCTGAATATGTGCTGATCCTTCAGAGAAGGCATATTGTGAAAACAAGGCAAAATTCATCGCAACAGCCTCGTCCGAGGCTGATTCAGACAATTATATTCAGATCTGGAGGACAAGTGTGAGTGAGAGACACTTTTTTCTGAATATCTGTACAGGTCCTTACATCAGTGGCTTGAATGTGACAGCCTCACAAAAGATCACAGTAAGTTGCTGGCATCATTGTCATATCCTAGAGCGCCATCATGCTGACGTGATAAAGGGCTCATCACAATCGTGGCAGAGTATTGGTATATATGTCATGTTGATATTTCTTGCCATAACATTTGTTTGGGTTGGACTTGGATGTTTGGGACCGTTGTAGGGATTCATTTCTGGCTGGGCTTGTAGAGACTGTTTTTACCTTACCTTATGTTGGCACTTTTGTAGCTTACATAAGCAAGTTACCTTTTCACCAGTTACCAGTATGAGTCTAAGTCTTGAGCAGTTTTTATGACATTTCCTCTCCTCTGAGCCTTGAGCCTGGTCCAGAAACCCTTTAGGGTCGAATAGCAGCTAGGTTCTGCAAGACCCAACATTGTTCAGACTCACCATCTGAATTGTTGTACCTTCACCGTAGTAGTGCAGCTCCGTCCTCAGTCTGCTGCATCCTTCTCCTGCCCTCGTTTACAGCTCACAACAGGCCCATGCCATGGAAAGAAAAATCGTGGAAACTTTAGAATTCTCACACTGCTTCACCAATTGAGCCTTTGAGGCTTTAACCTCGTCATCCATTTTTACCTGGCACTGGGTCCAGACCATGCTCTCATCACTCGCTTCAATCATGGCCTTTTATACTACTAGGTGAGTTTAACATGGCTTGGAACTTGGGATGTGAGGATTTTGGCAGGCAGCAAGAAAGATTGCTATGGAATTTAGGAGTCGTGCACATCCTTGACGAAGTGTCATGCTTTGCGGGAGTTGTAATATTTTTGAATGTAGGAATTAGTGTTTGTCCTGCAATTGCTGTTCGTTTAGGACTGTCGTATCCAGGGACAGCCTCGAGTTTCCTTGCAGCCCATGCTACATGGCTGTACGATTGGCTTCAATCAGCAAGGAGTAGTTCATTATATCATGGAGGAAATCTTGTTACATCAACTGCAGATCATCGATCAATATCAGTGCCATCCTCCAAATTGCGCTTGTAAAGGCAAACTTGATGCCCTGAAAGGCTCCTGTGGACCCAATGGCTGATCATCCTGGTAGATTGCCTGGCAGTGATCTATTGCCGTGGCAGAGAACCATGAATCATCAGCTTGCAATATTCCTCAATTTTTTCAAAGTCTCACAGAAGTTTATTCGTATCTTCTGGCAGCCTGCGCTCAACGCAATGTCAATGCCACTATGAATGAACCTCTATCTACTCGAAGTCCAATGGAACCGCACAGATCCAATACCGTTCTGGGCGCATCCATTGCCCAGTCCCTGAGCCCATTGATTTGTATCGCTCACTCACACTTTCCATTAGTGGGTTCAAGACCAAGTAGGGCAACACATAAGTAAGTTACAGAGGCCAAATAGACAGACACAATGATACTAGAACACTGGCAAAAAAGCAGTTGAATGATAGGTGGATGCAGCCTCTTTATCCATGCCTACATCTGACATCGTAAGATGAAACACAAGTAATGAACTACACGGATGCCCCAGTCATCTTAGCCTGAGCCTCTGCTTTCAATATCAGCATTCAATCCTGTGTCCCAGTGCTGTACTTGCCTTGTCCATCTGCCAAAGTGCTGACTAAGAATCATTGAGCGTTCGCAGCTTGAACTCAATTTTCACGGTATGGACATCCTTGATCTCGGGCTGGCATGCATGTCAGTGGGTCTGCTCCCTCAGAGACGATAAATATCTTAGCTGTCTCAAAGTCGGCAGCATAAAATATTGGTCCAGCCAGGAGTGCTTCCCATTGAGCTTGAGCATTGCAAGGTATATCGCAGATCCCTCCAGCAGACTTCCTCATTGGCCAGCCTGACAGAATTTGGAAGATTATAAGGCTCAATATCAAGAGTGACAAGACTCGATTGCACACCTGTGAACAAATCGCCATGTAGTCGATTAAACTTCTGGAGTGGGCGGATAAGGGGAGTCAGACATACAAGCCGATTACTCTAACTCACAGTTGCGGATATCATACGAGTTTTGGCCTATGTCCGTAAGGCATACTACCTGACAGGATTTTGAGGCTCCTATACTATACAAGATCAACGGTGTCACTATGCTGGGATGCCATCATCGGGGTGCTGTACATGTATTTCCTGCTGACAAGTAAACTATGACAAATGTTTATCACTTTAGCAGTAACAGACTAGCAGTAGGAGAGTCCTATGTGTATCTCGATAGAGGCATGATACATACCTCTGTCGACATAAAATACTCGACTATCCAAGGATTTTGCGAATAGGAACTTTATGAACACTGGCATCATGCTTCTTCTTCATCTCTGGATGCTATTGGAATACAGTTCGTCGCGGTTACTAGGAAGTTGCTATTGGAAGGTTCGTTTTGAGGTCTCTTCTTGTCTGCTCTGTGATAATTGATTGTGAAACAAGTGCTAGGACATCATTGAGGAATCCACCAGGCTCCTTCCTAGCCACTTTGGGGACCATGGGCAGCAGATGTTGTGTGGCTGTTGCATGTGGCTGTTGGAAGATGCATTGCAGATCTGAGGTTCGGAGTCCAGATGTTTGGGTAAAGTCTGAACCTGACTAATCATATAGATAAAGAAAGACTTTGCCTCTAGACGGGGTCCTGGACTCTTCTCTCGAACAGTGACTATTAGTTTTAACCCCAACCCAACCTTGATATGCTGAGTCCTATCCGATTGTTGTAGTACTAGGGTGATAGCAAGCGAGGGTCAGGGGTCTCAGGTGTTCGGGGTCCTAGAGTACCGAAGGTTAGAGTAATTAGACAGCACAACACAAACATGCATCAGCTTTCCTCCTCTAGAACACCAGCCTGGTGTATCCATCGTCACAATCAAGCTCCATCCTATTATATTGTTAGTCACTTTGTCAGTCTTTGTTGGCCATTCACGCATTGCACATCCTAGATATCCGATCAATCGTAATTGCTTAATCCTCGGATGGGGATCAAACCTCATGTTCTTTGTTCACCCCAAAAATATCTCTATCAGGATCCCCTTGACTCTGGCATAATATGTGAAAATGTCGTGATCACAAGGGTGGGAATAATGGTGGGATTGCTTTGTCTGTTTGTTGCTCAAGAAGTCTGATTCGAGCGAAACCGTGTATATATCAGGTGCATGTATTGATTTAACGTCTTTGAACCAAGGGTGAGTGACCTCATCTTACTTACATAAAATGGCGATTATATTTTGGTGTAGAAGTCAACTCACCTCATGGTCAACAACTACCCAATACTCAATTAATGGATGAAACCACAAACAATTAATCTATTCCTATTAATTATGAAAACAAATTTATCACATCAAATACACTCGATGATCGTGCTGTTCCTCTCCCTGTTTTCGAAGATCAAAAGCCTATCGCACCTTTGGTTATTAACAGAGCTTTGGAAGGAGCTTTAGTAGAAGTTTATTTTCTGTTCATCACTGGCAACTCTCAGCATATGACATGTTTCAGGCGAAAACAGAAAGCGTCAAAATGCTGAAGCATAGCACCAGTATCCCAGCTAAGCATTATCTTAATGATAGTGAAGCCAATGATGAATGATCAGGTGATGAATAACCACCTCACAAGAAGCCTGAGATTGCTTCCGTGGCTACTGGTTCCTCAGGACTAATAGGTTATGTTCCATCAGCAGACTTTATCTTGACGCACTGATGGATTATACAGTATCAGATGATCTCTGCTTCAGCAATCTGCATCTACCCCAGCCTGGCCATTTCGGTGCTGGTGGAGTTTTCGCATTGTTTACAGCGACTGCCTTTGGTGAGGATTTCAGTGACTGTGAGCAATCTTGATTAATGTTTACTGAGCACTGATCTGCAGCGCACTTATTTTTGGATCCAAAGAACTAGAGTGACCAACAGTTCCATAGGTAGGCCTAAGCATTGCAAGTATCCCAGGCGTATGGCTGTACCAGATGTCACCTGCAGGCTGTATCAATAGAATTAGCAGCCTTTCTGTTGAAAGTCAAACCGCCTAAATCTGTTTGGCACATCAAGATCGATCAACAGTGTTAAAACGACTATTGTCAAAGATCCGAGAAAGCACAGAATGAGTGGTAAGCATCGCAGATATTATGATTGATTGCCCTTGAACTTATTTGCTAATTAAGCCCGCCTCTATCGTGAACTTGGAAGAGTGGCATTGATGGATATTAATGTGATTGATTGCCCAATAACTGAGGGTGGGTTCGTATTGTGCTACACATTCTTCTCCGCCTTCTCATATTTTTGTGCTTAGATATGACAAAACTGTTCCTTTCTGAGGGAAGGGCAGCGATAAATACCCGACCCTCGCCCTATGATACGTCATTGCTTCACTTCTGTCAGTGTTGCCAATGTGTTCACGAGGAGCTGGAAACAGAGTCTGATTTCGCCGAGTCTCACAGTGTGAAGCCGGGATGTTGGCTGAATGCGACAATGTATTACAGGCACAAATGAGAAGAAGCTCTTCGTCGTGAACTGGACCGTGCCAACCTGGATGAGAACGGACAGCCAGTTGGCAAAATTTCTGTGCCGAATTCACCCCGGGGGTTTGCTTTGCCTGTGGAGCTGAACCTCACTGGAAACCATGCCATGGTAGCTAATACTAGACCCATCGTTCATGATCAGTCACAACACCCATCTGTTACCAACCTGCATCATTTGCATTCCAGAATCAATCACTTTGTTTGCAGTTTTTCATTCAAAGGTCTCCTGAAATTTGCTGGGCATCCTACGATCGATGGGCCATATGTGCGTCTTGACCATGATAATCTTCTTGCTGTCAACTCTGGTCCGCAAGCGCTAGAGCCCCGTCACCCTATGAATCAATCTCTGCTCACACTCCAGAACAATCTCACCATGTCAATGAAGGAGGCGCTTGAAATAGAAACTCACAATGTTGGGGAAATCATGAAGGAAAAAGATGCCCTTATTCAGCGCATCGTGAGGGAACTCAATCGTGCCAATGATCTCAAGGAGAAGGAGTGGGAAAGACAGCAGAAAGGTGACAACGACGAAGACTCTGATATGTTTATTAACACAGGTCAGTTGTTTACGCAGTCTATCATCTACTTAGTGCTAATGTAACGGTACATTTTGGCTAGATCCATATTTTAATGCCCCTCACGCTTCCTGGCATCCCATGCTCTTGTTGGTATATTTGACAATTCTCCTTATGCACCTCGTATGTGGACTACCTCGCCAGGCTTCGTCACTGCTACTTGTTTGCCTGCAGAGCATAGTTTGCCTTTCAGATCCATGTTCAACAGATACTGTTAGTTATATGATCATTCACCTCTACAGTACACATTTCTATGTCTTTTATGTGTCTTATTGTGCCTTCATACTCATAGTATTATTCCTGACACTTTACTTACCATTTACATGACTTCCTGACTTCCCTAGGACGTCCCTAGGTTGAGTTATTACTTACTCTTTGATTGTGGCTTGTCTGTTTACATTTGTTTACCATATGTCGCCCATATCCCAGAGTCCAGTGCTCCCTGCCTCTTTGGCAACTTACTCTGGACTCTAGGTACCTCTGATCTCTTCTGGTCTCTCAGTAGCCTCTAGAAGCAGCCCACTTCACTCCCATCTTAACAGATACACCGCTATCGCAGAATATTCCAAGGGACCTGCACACTGTGATAGGATCATTCGAGCTAGAGCCTCGCACTCAATCCTACATCTGTTGTCCAGCATGCTTTGCTTTATATGATATGTCCCCTCTCCCCCTCTTTTGTATGCATCAACCAACTCCTATGAGCCAGCCATGCCACACAAAGCTCTGGAAAATGTGTATCATCTGTGGAAATCAAGTCCAACATCCAATCCGTACATATCTGCACTAAGACCAGAAACAGTGGATGGGTTGTTTCCTTTCACGTCCTAGTGTCGAAGACCTCATAGACTCCGCTGCTCACCATCACGAAGGGGAGGACATGGAGGACATTTGGCATGCGTCTACGTTTTGTCAGTTTCCTGGGCCAGATGGTAAACCCTTCCTTAGTCCATCAATTCGGGAGAGGCACTATGTGTTTAGTTTAGGAGTTGACAGCTTCAATCTGTTTCAGAACAAAGTCACCAAACAGAATGTGACAGTAACAGGGATGTATATGGTATGCTTGAATCTTCCACCAGACCTGTGTTACCTGCCCAAGAACATGTTTCTCATTGGCATCATTCCAGGCCCAACAAAACCTTCCACCAATCAGATCAATCATTTTCTGAAACTCCTCATGGACAATCTCCTACCGTTTTGGGACCCTGGCATTATCTTCTCGCGCACAGCAAAGTATCCGGCTGGTTGCGCTATCTGAATCTCCCTCATACCAATCGTGTGCGACCTTCCAGCTGCAAAACAGGTTGCAGGGTTCAGTGGTATCACTTCAAAATTCTTTTGTTCCTACTGCTTACTCCCTCTCTATGATATCGACAATTTGGATTGGAGCCAGTGGCCTCCTTGCAATGTCGAGACTCATTGTAAACATGCCTGCTCATACTGAGATGCTGCTATGCCTGAGGAGAGGCAGTGCATCTTCGATCAGTTTGGAGTCCATTTGACCGAACTCCTTCAACTCCCATATTGGGATCCAATCTCTTTCACAGTTGTCGAGTCCATGCACATCCTATATTTGCGCATTCTCAGATATCACTGTCAAGTGGCATGGTGGATGAATGTAGATTTAGAAGATGGCGAAACCATTTCAGGAGAAGGGACCAAAAGCATTGTGAGGCCATCTGATGAAAGCATGCAGAAAGGTGTCGGGGCGCTCGCCGCGGGAACCTTTGCTGCCCTTGATGCTTGCACTAAACCTGTCCTCTACCATCTATGCCAGGATAGAAATCTCAGGAGGGCGAGTATGAAGAGAGCGCTCATTAAAACTCTTCTGAATTGGGTGCGTGCAAGTCCTTCAAGCTTGAATATAATTGACTGGCTAATACGACAGAAAACCGATCAATCCCTTCGGAATTAGAACTTTTAATTGGCCCATTCTGTACATCACCTCTGGGCTTAGTGCCCAAGCCCAACTCCAGCAAATTTTGAATTGTTTAAGATCTTTCCTATCTCCACGATCTATCCGATATTCATTCTGTGAATGCAGATATCAACTCGGATGATTTCCCCACAGTCTGGGGCACCTTCAACGACACTGCCACCCTCATTCTCTCTTTACCCCCTGGTTGTGTTGCCACAACCTTCAATGTCTCCTTAGCCTATTGCATTGTTCCTATCTTGTCCTTGCAGCAGAACTCTCTCTGCATATTTTGGAGAGGTATCGTTTACATAAACGTGCCCTCATGTTTGGGCTCTCTTCCAGCGCTGGTGTCTTCGGCTCTGTGGCAGATATGCTCATGGCATTATACAACAAGGCAGGTTTCGAGTTGATTTGAAAATGGGTAGATGACTTCTTAGTTATCAGACTCCCACATCAGTCGTGGACCGAGGCAGAATTCATAGCACTAACAAGTTACTGCAGCATTCCATGGAGTCTCAAGAAGCTGCACTGTTTTGCAGTGATTCAGAGAAATATCGCTTTCGACTGGGATCTCGACTGCAAGCTTGTCTCGCTCCCAGAGGAGAAGCTCCTCAAAGTGCAGCAGTTAATCAGCAGCTGGCAAGCTGCAGGTGCATCCTTCATGGCGAAGGAGGTAGCTGGCCTCCACAGCAAGCTAGTGCATGTTGCATGTATTTTCCCCTTAATCTGTCCCTTCCTATGATCTATTGCATTATTTGCAGCAAGCTTCTACTCCGCTCAGGCACACCTTCACCCATCTTCTGCAGTTGCCGCGGACCTTCCATGGATTCAACTCCTGCTATCAGTCCTCCTGAACCACTGTAGATGAGGAATGTAAAGGGGAGGTAATAGGGTGGCATGAGATATACTCAAGTAGTCCTCTGTGCACGAGCCAATGTCGGCCCAAGGGGATTGCTACTGAGAAGGTTCCTCTAAGTATATAAAAGGAGGGAAAACACTGAACCAGGTGCTTGGTCAAGCCTGGTAAGGTGCATGACAATGAGCGAAGTGCAAAAGAGTGAGAGTGTTGCCGAGTGGATGTGATGCACATGTGCGGCTGATTGGAGCAAAGCGACTCTAGATGAGTCAGAAGACAAACGGACAGAGGTTCTAGTAAGGTGCGATGGCGGGCACTCGTGTATACTTAGATACTTAATGTCAATCGGCGGATATGACAGAGATTCAGACTTAAAATCCAACGATGTGTGGGAGGAAAGATGATCATTATACAGCAAGGCGGGAGTATATATATTCTATGTAAGTAATGTTTAAGCACTGTCAAGTGCTAAAGCAAAATGGGAGATGAAGTGAGTATGTTATAACATGCAATAAGGGTCCGTAATGCAACATACAGAATGTGTGCGCAAGCACCAGAGATATGTTAGAATAAACAGAAATATGATAAGAATATGCACTGACAAACTGAACGGACATGGAATGGATAGACGGAGGATGAGCGACGGAACTGAGGATGCATGCACCAATGCACATCCAAAGCACTTGTCTGCATGAGCGGTCAAAGGAGCGCCAAGTGCGCGGAAACAAGATATGAGTTGCACTGTACTTGGAAGGTGATTGGGACGTTGGGAATTTAGACCTCTATGAGGCCACAGAGATATCAGTCTCTACACCATGTTCCAATTACTGTGTCCTCTCCAGTAGACATTGGATGGTGGGGTGACACCAGTACCTCATTTGGCATTGGTGTTGTTGTCCAAGGCCATTGGGCTATTTGGTGTTGGGCACCAGGCTTCAAAGTTGGGCCATCACGAGCATTCAACATCAGTTGGGCCAAGGCAGTAGCTATCAAGTTAGGGTTTCAAGTGGCCCTTCAGCTGGGTATTTCTGTTTCTTTGTCCATACTGACTGCCCATGTTTCTAACTTTTGCCTAAGGTATCATCTCAAGAGATGCACTATCAAATCTCTGCTACCTCATCTGTTCCGACAATGTAGGTGTTGTTGCGGTCACCAACAAAGGCCACTCCCACAGTGCAAAGACCAATACAGTGTTGAAGCATGTTTATTGCCTGCAGGCGGAATGCTGTGTACACCTGTCTGCAGTATACATCTCCTCCCGCTGCAACATCACAAATGCCCTTTCTCAAGGAGACATCTCAGCATTCAAGGCTGGTCTCTCTGGAGCTTTGGACCCGGTCTCAATCCCACTGCCCTCACATCTTGCAGGCAAACTAATTTCATGGTCGTAATGACACTTCATAGCCTTTCACCAGCCACACAACCTGTTTGTTCCCTTTCAAATCCCACATCTTCCTTGCCATTAGAATTGGTTCCCTCCTCACTCCATCCACCATGCAAAGCATCTGAGTGGATTTTCCTCTGGTGAGGAGTGAACTCTCCCTCCCCCTTCAACCATTGATAACCTAATTATTTGCCATATTGCCAGCCTTGTGAATCAAGCATCCCTCCACGATACAGCAAGTTATGGAGCCGGTCTTCGGAAGTTCCATTTATTCTGCAACATTTTCTCAATTCCCAAGGCCGAACAACTTCCAGCATTATTTGAAGTGCTCCACTCATTCACTCTATGGGCCATCACTAACCCAGATCCTAGTGACCCAATCCTATCAATCCCCACCCAGACCCTGTTTGAACCAGTCTCAGTCAGTGTCGCTTGAAAGTACCTTTCTGCAGTGCGAGCTTGGCATGTAGCCCAAGGTTGGCCCTCTCACCTTGTCAGACATCCACCACAGCCGCATAAACTGGTCTCTGCAAGGGCTCGAGAACCTGCACAGCGGCCGCCAAAAGCCCCTCTGTCCACCAATCACCTTGCCAATATGGACAGCCCTCAAAGCCACACTCACTCTCTCTGATCCCTTCGATGCCTGTGTCTGGGCCATGGCATCATGCACATTTTTTGGCATGATGTGCTTTGGTGAAGTGTCAGTAGCATCACAAGGGGCCTTTGCACCCACTAAGCATCTCACGAGGGCAAATGCCTTTTTTGGTGCAGACCTACGAGGTAACCCATATGCGCACCTGGATCTTCCTTCAGCCAAAACAGCTCGTGCAGGTGAAGTTCAATCAGTGTTCCTCAATGAGCAAGGGGACCTTTGTCCCCTCAGGCAATAATGTCATATTGATGCATCAGAACAGGCTAACTAGCCTAGTTTTGTGATGCATCAAGATTGCTCATTGTGTGATGCATCAGGGATCTGAGAATGATGCATCATCTGTCTGGTACATATTTAGGCTGTGCCGTTCATATTTGGCACTTGTCCATCCATATTGAATATTGAGTGAGTTAACCTGTATCCAGTACCTTGCTTTCCTACTCCTTGCTTCCCGCTTCTCTTCTCATTCCAGGCCTTCTTGCTTACATAATTTAATCATTTAGCAGCCTGCATCAGTAGGCCTCTTACCAATCCAGTCATGCTCTGCCTCGACTCTGCCTGCCTCTTTCCTTGCCCGCCCCCCATATCTGTACTCGCTAGCAGTGTGATATAAATAAAGTTGATCCAAGTTGAGTATCCTTCAAATGTCTTCACAATCCCTGTCTTAACCTCAACCTCACAGGCTTTCAGCTCTCCACAATCACCATTTCCACCAGCAGCGACAACCCATTGACCATCACTTGATACTGCCACCGCATATGCATGCTCCTCACAAACACCCTGCGCTTCCTCAATCTCTTTGCCCGACTTCAGATCCCATCGCCAAGCAGTCTTATCCTCATATCTGCTGATCATTTGCTGGCCGCATCTGATAAATGGGATATAGATTGAATCCATGACCTGCTGCCCATTTTCTTTTGTTCACAGTGACCCGGATATCCTACCACATGTATTGAGTATATAACTAGTCATTGGTGCCACCTTCTCAATCTCTCAAAATTTCAACCATCACTTGTCACTCTGACTCACTCATAGCACATAGATGCACTAAACTACATTCATAAGCCTAATCTACAATAACCAATATATACTACTGCACCATAAATAATCTGTAAGCTCAAGCCGCTGTTATGGTCTGACCACTGCTGTCATATCCCACATTCTGGACCAACATCCGACGACGTTCCCACGCCTCATCCGGACCTCCGGACCTCCTGTCCATGTCTCCAGACCCAATCCTCTATCCGTCCGGATCCCTGCACTCCTGCATCTGATATCCGGACGCCAGATCTGATATCCACATCTCCGGATCTCCAGATCCGACCTATCTGTCATGTCCGAACTCAAACCTTAAATCGGCGCCCATCCCCTTATGGTAATCACCTGTCTCCGGACTTCCGAACATCCGGATCTGACCCGTGTCTATCTTCCGTGCCTTTTCCCTTTGTACATTTCTTCTCAAGTTAGACTATACTCATTTTCCGTACCTCATTTCATTTCCACCTTTATTTTACTATGTTCTCATTTCCGTCTTCATTTACTATTTTCCGATAGACTAGTGTTAGACGTTTCTACATGCTCCGTCCATAGCCTCACATAGCCTTGCACTGTGCTGACTGATTCTCCGTTATGTCCTTTGTAGTATATAAACCCTGTAAAGTCTCTATACTTCCTCAGTCTGAATATCACACATATTAGTCCTCGCACTAGATCTCACACTAAGTCCTCACATCAGTTCTAGTCCTCCAACTTAGTCAATATCCATCTCAGGCCTAGGGAGGCATTCCCTAGGCCGGAGCTCCGCTCCTCCGCTCCTCCGATCCACCATTCCTCCAAGTTTCCAGAAGTTCCTCTGGAACTTTCCCACGGTCCTCCGGACCTGTTCTGCTTCAGACTTTGTCCTTGCAGCCTTTCCTCTGTTTGCTTCTACTCAGGACAAGTCCTGAGTAGCCATTACACATATCCCTGTCAGGACGAAACTCCATCGTAATTTCCGGAACTTTCCCGCACTCATCCGGAAGTTTCTCGCACTCGTCCAGAAAGTCCTTCCGAAGTTTCCCACACTCCTCCAGAAGTCCTTCAGACTTCACTGGACTTCCTCCGGACTTCATTCTGAAGTTAAGGGCACATACTCAGGTAAGGGGCGCAGCGCACGAGCTGAAGCCAAGCCCCTTAGAATCAGTCCTACCCTTTGTGCACGGTCTTAACAACTGCAATGATTTGATTCAGATGCAGGCAGGAGGTGAAGCAGAAACAGAAGGTCGGAGGTTAGTGTCTGTGTCTTGGATCTGGAAGCAATGTCATGGTGCAGGTGAACAAGAGCTTTCGGAAGGTAACTGTTGTCATCTTCTGGTGTAGCGCATGCTGATCATTTGACAGTGATGCATGTTGAATAGTGCAAGGCACGGGCACATGCTAACCAATGGGCTGAAGAGGTTGTGCTCTTGCAGGAGGAGATGTGCCATGTTATTGCATACTTTGATTGGCACACTAAGTGGTGGGATGAACACACAGTTTCCAGAGGCGATTTTGCAGTCACAGAGAACAAGGCGCTCATCACATATGCCTCCTGGCAAGTGAATATCTGGTGTTCCATGTGTGACCACTGCCTTTCTTTGTGGTCCATGGTTCCTGATCTCCTCGCCCAGTCAACAATATCAATGTCATGCATCATCTAATTCATTGTTTCCCACTTTTTCCGCTGTTTTATTTGTTTTATTTTTGTGTACTGCTTGTATTTAGGGCTTAACATTGATGGTAGAGATTCAATACACTTGCTTGCCTCAATAGAATTGCTGATTTGGCGCTTTTTGGCCCACACAAAATGCATGTTTTTATGATTTCTATTATTTCTGTTTATAGAGACTACAAAAAACATGTAAGTGTTTTAGGAAGCCCAGGGACACAGGCTCCAAAGCTAGGTGGTTGAGAAGGAAGGACCATCAAGATCTATCAAGATCTACTAGATCTACGAGAGATCTGATAGGATCTCATTGATGATCAGCAACAAACAGAATACAGTGATATTAGTCAGCACACAGGGCTACGCAGGGGTGGGGATGTGTTCCCAGCACAGTATGGATACAAGAAACTAAGGGATCGGTCCTACAGGGAGAGTATCAATACAAAGAAGTCACCAGGCATCAATACAGAGTATGCATCCATGGCTCGTTACTATGGCCAGTAAGTATTGATACCCCTTCCAGGGTGTGGTGGTGCACTCAAATGTATTAATTCAATCCTCATTGCATGGGGATGGGGAACATCTTTCAGTCACTCCTTTCAGATCAGCGGAGCATCCTTCTATTTAGCAAAGAAAATTGACCCAGAGATTGTTCGTATTGCTGGGCGTTGGAAATCATTAGCCTATGAAATGTACATACAGGCTTTTGAACAAATCTCTTCACAGCACCTCGCCAATGCAGCCTCTCAATAGTGTAGCCTCCACATGTGGTTGGGCTGAGCACTCCACCTGCTTGTGTCCCTCCCCGAGCTAACACTCTAACCAGCCCAACACAAACAGGTCGTGCCTCCGACTCTTCCCAAGCCAGACGAAGCTGGACTTTCGAGAATTCCGGTTTCTTGCCCAGTGTGGTAATATTAATTCTGGAATCTTCGCGGCGTTGGTATTTCCAGCTTAGGTAACCTTGGAATTGTATATTTACATTGGTTTTGGATTCAGCAAGCAGGTATATCTGACAATGACCACCTGGGCTCAGGCCATCCATCATCCCTGGTTTGATCCATCACCTCTGAAGCGTAAACTGTCTAATGCGGATGACGAGCGCCGTGCATCACCCTATCAGCGCTCATCGCCGAGCCCCACAAGCCGCGCTAAACGATGCAAGTTCAACACACTGGAGCATGGGTTTGCCCACCTGACGCTCGCGCCAGCGCCGGTCTACCCCAACTCAACGAGTGGGCTGGTGATTACGCCCATTAATCCCACTGTTTCATCTTTCGAATCTACAACATTTCCACCTTCTAGTGTTGTCCTCCCCAGTTCTATCGAAGAACCGCCGCACGAAGTCGAAGCCGTGGCGCCCGAGGTGAACATGGAGACTTTGGACGAGGGTGATTGTAAGCATATTTTAGAGTTTATGGCAGATATCAGTGTCCTGATTGCTTGTGCAGACATTGGCAAGACCAAGGCGGCTCCTCACTATTCAATATCGACGCCTTTGCTTCGGCGCATACGAAAATATCAGACAACAACGCAGCCTATCATTCCCATTTCGTCGCCCAGTACGGGAGGGGGTGCTTTGGTGTTGTATCGGCCGTTGCGGCCACTTTCCCCTACTCGACAGGTCGATGAACAAGCCGAATCCGTAGAGGAAAATACCACGGCTGGTGCTGCGAGTTTTGAGCGTGATGATGATGCGATGGAGATAGAGTAGAACGACACGCCCACACATTTGTTTGCTTTGATACTTATTAATATCCTAAAACGACACATGAACTGTACGAAAAACAAGAACTGCTCATCTATGTAACAAACAAAGCAAACGAACAAAGAACTAGAGAAAGGTGAAAGCTTCTGAATCAACGGGCGTCGAGATTGCGGGTACCATAAGATAACATAGTGGTCCCAGAGGGACCCTCTTCAGTAGGATATAGACCTTCTGAGTAGTTAAGATGAGAGTGATGATGCCTGGCGTGGGCGTGAGGGTGGGGAACATGGTGCATTTGGGCGGGGGTATATGGTGGACGGAGGGTAACGGATGCAGATGAAGGTGCGGGTAGCTTTGGGGGATTTGCTGTCGCAGTGGTGTTTGCCAAGTGATGCTGGGCAGAAAAGGGGGGCTGGGCATAGGGGTTTACGTGTAGGACTGGGTCGTCGATGGTAGGAGGAGAGTTATTCTCCTCCTTGTCAACGAGAGGTTGGTCGTCTACGTCGTCATCTGCAATGTCACGAGCATTGGTGGCCTGATTCTTTTGAGCAGCGATTTCCTCTGCTGTGAGGAAGCGGCCACCGGGACCGCGGGGACGACGCATTGCGTGTTTGTGGCGACTTTCATGTAAATATGGCTAAAATAGGATAAAAATTTGGTTGGATGAGACTAGATTGAACAGACCTTTCTTTGCCTTGATAGTCTGTGTACTTCGTCTAAACGAGCACGAGCGACACGACGCTTGAGAATGCGAAAATATTGTTTTGCATTTACATAGAGAGGTTCCTCATCTACTTGGTGATCATCTGTTGGAGTGTTTTGGTGTGAAGACTGGTCTTGTTCGATGTGATGATGTAAGAATAAGTCATCTGCAGGAGAGTTGCGATGAGTTGTGAGAGCGGGAGAAGAAGGACCTGGGGAAGGGTTTCGGGAATGATGATAAAAATGATGATTATAAATATCAGAAGATTGACGAGAAAAGGGAGATGAAGGATGAGGAGGATGACTAGCTGCGTAATGGTAAGCGGAATCGAGCAGCTGATCGACAGGATCGCCCATTGATTGGCTGCTGGCACAAGCGTTGACCTCAAACAAACTAATCCACAACTGGGTCACACCCCCACATGCTGTCACGTTCCTTTACGTAACACTCTTCTTTCAAACAACAATGGACACGAAACTGTGAAATTCATCATCAATTTCATTATATCAACTCACTAATATATATTACAGGAGAGCATTAAAAGTTCAAGAACTAAAAGAAATCCTTTCAAAGGCTTCTATACCTCCAGGAAATGCAAAAAAGCAGGACCTAATCAACAAAATTTTGGCCAACCCTCCTGCTATAGACGTCTTTCACACTCTTCATCCACCAAAGAACTCAAAACCAGTACCACCACCTGATCATGATGACCTCGTGCGTTTTCTTATCATTAATTCATCCTTCATATACTAATTTTCACACAGCTTGCTCCTCCAGAAGAGTACGTCTCACTATACCCACGTGTCCGAACTCTGACCCTTTTCATAGAGTCGACTGGACCGTCGAAGTATCCATTCCAGTAGAACCTGCATCTCCCCCCAAGAAATCTGAACAGGTTGGTCTTATTTTTTAATAAACCGAGTTCATTATTTCTAACATTACTCAAGCCTCCTCCATCACCTGCACCAGCCGCCCCAGCTCCACCTACACTCGTACTCTCAGAAGAGGATAAGCGCAAAGCTCGTGCAGCTCGTTTTGGTACGACTTACGTTGAACCCGTTCAGCAACAACCCAAAAAGGCTACTGGTGAGGTGAGTACCATCATATACCGACTTCTACTCTTTCATGACCATTTACGCTCTAGAATTTCGATAAACTCAAGGCTCGAGCAGAGCGCTTTGGGACTGTCCCTTCCGCCACCAAAGTTAGGGGAAAGCGCACAGCACCTGTCGAGAACGTTGATCCTGAGGAGCAGGAGCGCAGGAGGAAACGTGCAGAACGCTTTGGTTTGCCACTATCCGTAAGTCCCGTGTTCATGGTCGGCGCTGCATTCACTCATGAACTGTTTCAGGGTAAGGCGTAAGTATTGTTGGGCTTGTCATTCTTGAACACTTTTATTTATTCTCACTGTTGTTGTTCGTGTATATAAGCGCATATCTTTTTTTGGAGTGTAGCATGTAGACGCCTAATGATGTATTTCCGTCCTCTCAGCTCGAATACTCATTGTGATTCTGCTGTACACATTGGAATTTGATCCGCATCATCAATGCATCAGTGATGGTAGTACATGCATAATCCAAGGCTAACAGTGCTCATACCCTATAGCTAGCATCTTAATCGACGCGACCGCCACGCTCTTGCATTTCACACCCATCGACCCCATTCACCAAGTCCTACATGTCCTACCCCCAGCGTTCTACCCGGCTTGAGTTTCTTGGCTTCCCCCCCGGCTACGGTCCTTGGACTTATCGTGCTATCCCAGAACCTTTGATCTCATCCGAGCTTGCACGTCTGGCTTCTGCACACGTCATCAACAGTAAAACAACCACGACGGGTTGTGTCTCCCTCCAGCCAAGCCCAGATCCAGACGACCGCTCCCAGGATCGCTTTGTCGTCCTGGACTGGGACGGATGGTTGTTTTCTGCTGTGTTTGACGGTTCGTGCAACCTAATCGGATTCGAAATAAGTGTCTCTGATACTTGTGACAGGCCACGGAGGGGAAGAGGCTGTAGACTACGTCGTTCAGGAGCTCCCCTCATTAATCTACGCAGCTCTCGCCAAGGCTCTGGCCGATGCAGGCACCACACCCCCTGCACCCTCGACCGTCTCCACCCTTCTGCAGTCTTCTATCCGAGCTGTTGATGACGCCCTAACCGACAGAGTCAAACACCTCTTCCCTGATGAAGCAACGCTCGCTGTCCTCACAGACGAGCAAATCAAGTCCACAATTAACGGCCCCACAAACCCCAACAATCTTGCCATCTTGCGGTGCATGCGTGGTACAACTGCCCTCGTTTCGCTCGTGGACCCAAAGAAGGAGAACCTCTGGGTAGCCAGCCTAGGTGATTGTCAGGCTGGTGTGTGCCCTTTTCGCGACGCTTGAACGTACAAGGCTGATGTGATCCGCAGTGCTCGGAGCTAAAAACTCCAATGGTACATGGGATGCGACGATCCTCAGTGTAAACCACAGTGGCAAGAACCCGGCCGAGGTCGCGCGCATCCGCAAAGAACATCCAAACGAATCTGAATGCATCAAGTTCGACAGAGTTCTCGGCGCAATCGCCGTCACACGAGGTGAGTACTTTCCCCATGCTCATTTAAACACAAACATATATATTCACACAACCAACCATCTAGCCATCGGAGACCACATCTTCAAACTCCCTGTGTCCTACACTAGACGAGTTTTCATGAACTGCGTCCCCGGCTTTTCCGTCTCTTCCAAACTTGAACATTTCCTCCCGCATAACAAATCGCCGCCCTACCTGTCCGCTCTTGCGGACATTAAACATGTCGCTCTCCAGCCATCCACAACTAACACATCTGAATCATTCTTGATCTTGTGCTCAGATGGCCTCGTAGATCTATATGAACATACGAATGCACGGAGACCTACCTTGGAGGAGATTCTCACACAATGGGTCCATATACTCGGCGAGCGTATGGACAGGAGAGGTGCCAAGGTCAGCGATGGGGCGGACAAGGAGAACGCAGCACTAGTGCTGCTGAGACACGCGCTAATGGCCGGAGGGGCGGATAACCCGGACCGTCTCGCGCAGATGCTCACAGTAGAGATACCCTGTCGGTGGATGGATGATACAACCGTGCTTGTCCAGACCCTTTAATATACCCGTGAACTGCATCTGTGATATCTATGGCAGTCGACCCATAGGTGTAGCAATATGGTCCATTATTGCTCTGCACTGCACAAGGCTTCTCGCGGATAACTACATGTCCTGCTGGCAACTAGGACTCCAAGAGAAACCAGCACTATCATACCTAATCAGGGACAATGAAAGAATTTTAGCACGGAAAATCTTAATGTCCTGTCACCCTCGCAACCAGCCATGAGTCGACAGTGACACTTCCTCACCACCAAACCTTGACGATCGCGGGATTCCACATTATCCAGCTTGTCGTCGAAGAGCTCTGCCTCAGGACATGCATTCTTCTTTTCTCACAGCAGAGCTGCTTCGCCCCTTGTGCGTACCGAAAAGCGGGTTCAATGAAAAACGGCACCCAGAAAGTATGTCCGTACCCCCGGACAACGCCACATGGTATGTGATTCGTCACGATGGTTATTTGTTGATCGGTTCCGTGAACTCTTTAGGGCACTACACAAGTGAATGTTAGTTTCATAATTGCTCGACATGACCAAGATTCATTTCATCTCTACTATGTAACTCGGGGGTACGACATGTAAAGCTGGCACGTCACGACGATCCAGATGCGTCTGGTGGGGGAGGTTCGCGAAGCGGGTTCTCTTGTCGTGCTTGGCTAAGCAGCCCACCCAAACCTTTCTCTGTAACAGCTTTCTATATTGGAAGAGATTAGCATCAGAATCATGATCAAATATCGAACGAGCAGACGATCTAGTGAATTGAATTGGATGTTGCTCGAGAAATCATTCCTTGTGATGTAGAGAAAAGAGCTGCTACTTACTTGCACGCAATCTTTATATTCCGCCCAGATACTCCCACATTTGCGATCGTACTCTTCTTTCTTTTGCTTTGAGTACTCGATTCTTTGACTTTGTGAGTGTCCCTTGGTGTTGGCGTTCGCAATAGCTGGTTCGAGGTAGCCCTCAAACCAAGTATTGAAGCAAGCATCATACTCGTGCTTCAATGGCGTGCATTCTGGAGATAACGAATGGGCCATTCCTGCAAATGAAATGCGAGCGGGAGGCCACGAACAACTGTAGGTGACCGTCGGGTGTGCTTACTAAACATCACTTAGTAATCGACTGCGGCTGTGCTACCGATAATAATCTTTGCATATCATATGCTGACTTACACATCGCAGACGGGGACGACACCCTTGAAAGTAGACATCCATGATGGATCTAGCAAACGAACAACCCCTATTCACTTGCCTGTCATGCTCGATAGCCTTTCTTTCCGCGGAGGAGCAGCGTATGTCCTGGCACTCACTCCTGTCTAGATGAATTAATGCATGGGCACACAGGCACGCACTACCGCTCAGACCACCATAGGTACAATATGAAGCGTCGCGTCGCATCCCTCCCACCAGTTAGCGTTGCCATATTCAATCAAAAAGTGCTCGAGCGCCGTCAGGAGACCGCGATCATGTCCTCACTGAAAGGTAGCACCTGTGAGGTGTGCGGGTACGTTCCTTCTGATCATAACAACCGCTTTCTTTTTCTTTCTTCTGCGTTGATATCATCTTCTCCATGTACTTTTTGTATCGAAGTTCTCTGACACACGAACAGGAAAACATACACAACAGAAAATGCGTATAGATCCCACATAAATTCCAAGAAGCACAAAGAGAATGAGCTCAAGACTGTCTCGCGGCCAAGTCAAGTAGTACCACAGCCAGGCGAAGTTCCTAGCGCCCCTGTAGATCCCCCGCCGTCATCCACGCTCCCTGTCATTTCCGAAACCCCCATACCCAAAGACTCGACCCTCGGTGTACCCGCGACCGCTACCGAGGATGACATCTACGAAAGCATAGATGCTAAGATAGCTGCTGCTCGCTCACGTCTTTCTCCAGCACACTGCCTCTTTTGTCCGCATACTTCCTCCACGCTTTCAGACAATCTAACGCATATGTCTTCTTCGCATTCCTTTTTCGTCCCTGATGCCGACTATCTCGTCGATCTTCCTGGCCTCATCACATATCTTGGTGAGAAAATTGCAGTTGGAAATGTATGCATCTACTGCAACGGTAAGGGACGTGAGCTTCGGACACTCGAGGCTGTGCGGAAACACATGCTAGATAAGGCTCATTGCAAGATCGCCTACGATTCCGAGGACGACCGACTTGAGGTGTCAGACTATTACGACTTCACAACTTCATATCCCGCTGACACACGGAAGAAGAAATCTAAACAGATACCCGCGGAGGACGAGGAGTGGGAGGATGCCGAGGACGACAGCGGAGATGCAGAAGAGGTCGTCGATGAGGCTGCTTCAGAGCCTCCTGATTCTGATTCTGATTCTAATGAAAGCATACCCGAGAACCAAATCACTTATGGTGATACCGAGTACGAGCTTGTTCTCCCATCAGGGGCACGCATCGGTCATCGGTCTATGAAGCGCTATTACGCACAATCCCTGCAGCCCACGCACGTCCAGAGTAATGAAGACCGCAACTCTGGGATTGCACTTGTCCGCAGATTGCTCGCAGACAAGAATTCTGCCCTCGTACCCCGCAAAGGTGGGTTTGGCGCACATGGGCAAGGAATGGAGACTGTGAAAGCGAGGAATCGTGGTGAAGCAAGAGAGGCAGGGAGGCACGTACGAGAGTTCAGAGATCAGAAGCGCAGGGAAGATTTCAAGACACGAGTAGGTTTCATACACAACAGCCAGAAGCATTTCCGGGACCCACTTCTGCAGGTGTGTTTTGTACTTGACAAACCTTCATTATCACTCACTCTCATCCTCAGTGAAGACGCAGAGTTTCACTGTGCATGGCAAACTATGCATGATATTCCTTTGGCATTTCCAAAACCACTACCTCTTGTTATCTTGTCCCATGAAAGCGTCTCTAGAAGGCGGAAACATAAAAAAATAATGCTATGATATCAATTGAAAGAGCGACCGAAAGGTCGATCTCGGTTAAGTAGGGTATAATGATGTACGACTGATAGCAAGAAACAAGATACGAGAAGGAAACAAATCAATACAAATAGGCCGCGGGTACCACGCCCTCCTGGCCTGTTTGTGGATTTCGCGTATACCACCACCTGAGAACATTATGAGCGCAGTGATCGTAAAGTTGAATGTGATCTCTTACGCAGTATCCCGATCATCTAACACTTCTACCTCGAGTCCAGCCGTCAAAGGTAGTTCGCCCTCGCCCGTCCCATCGAACGAGTAGCGAGCGTGTGCAGGACGAGCAAACTCCTCTTCGGCGGCCATTGTACCCACGACCGCGTCTGAGGGAGTTTCAGCTCGCAAGTAATTACTACCATCTGGTCCAAATGGATCAGGTTCTGCAGCGATGGATTTTCTTGCGTTTTCATCCTTCTCAGCGCCGACCGCATTTAATGGGCTCGCAGCACCGAGAATCGTTGTTCGTGTGGCCGCGTTGATGTGTTCTAGTAATGATGATGGTCGGTGTTGAACTGAATTATCGTCGTCGTCGTCATCGCTGGTATTATACTTCGCTACTCTATCATCGCGGCGAGACAGTAGGGTCCAGAGGATGCCGATGAGTGCCAACAGGAACACAACCCCAGCTGCAATGGCAATGGAGATGAGAATGACAATGCCAGTTGCGAGGAACTCTGCAAGAGACCATGAGCTATGATTCGAGAAGACACAGAAGTTACTTACGTTGTTGACCAAAGCTGAAGTTTGCGAGTGAATAGAACAGTGAAGAAATTGAGCCCAACGCTCCCTGAGCAGTTACAGTGGCCATGTAAGGAATAAATGAAGAGCCATCGAAGAGGACAGAGGACGCAGAACCGAACGAAGAGTCGGACAGCGCGCCAGAGATCATCAACATCCGGTCAGATTCAATGATGCTGTTAGCTGAGTGCGTGTCCAGTAGGGGAACCATGAGAAGCTGGGAAATGTTGGTGGTGCCCTGGAGCGAAGATCCAACACTACTCCAAGAAACACCATCCCAGAACATCATGAATGGTGAGGAACCATCAGTAGTGCTGAAGACCAAGATAAGTCAGATAATATGCCTATGAGCAGTAATATCGTGTCACTCACCGACCAGCTACAAAGATGCTGGAATAGTTGCCATTGTTAACTGTCACTGCCGTAACCGGTCCTGGAATTTCAGCGCTGTTCCCAATGGCGGCCCATGTGGAATCCGCAAAATTATACTGTGCGACATTGGTCGTCAATCCACCTAATGTGATAGATCCGGCAGCAATCAGGATTTCTTGAGTACTCTACCGAAACCCAGTCAATAACATGTTACTGGCCAAGAACATAGATACTTACTCCTGCATATGAGACAGACGAGATGTCTCCCTGAATACCGCTTCCGAGAGGGTTCCATTGATTCAAGGTGGTATCAAATAGACAGATGGCTTGGCAAGACACAGAACCAGCCTGCGCAAACGAACCGGCGACAATGACAGTGTCAGACTTATATATTGATGACGTTATCGAGCGAACGACGACCGAAGATCCTGCAGAGGTTTGCAACGGTTGCATGGATGATGTATCCCACTGTTGAGTAGATAGATCATAAAGAGCCAATCCAGTTGCTGAGGTTCCGGTGAGATTGAATTCACCGCCAACGAAAAGCTGTTGCTGCTGATCAACATAGACAGCGCGAACGACGCCATTGATCTGAGCACCAGCGAGCGCAGATATTGAAGACGTAACGGGATCATAGATAGCAACGGCGGATGAGGTCGTAGAGGAGGAAGAGAATGAAAAGTTGCCTCCAATTATGGCTACCTGGTGGGAAGTAGAAACATTTGTCCAGAATGCCCCAGCAAGGACAGCGGGAGCAGGAGCGGGCGGGGAAGGCGGCAGGGCGCTTGAAGTTGCGCTCTGGCGAGTGAATAGGGTTCCAATATTGAGGTGAGATATCCATGCAGATGGTCCACGACGGACGTGGGAATGACGCTTCGTTAAGGTGGCCGGAGAAGATACATTCGTAACGTTGCTAGTAAGCTGGACGCCCATAGATGTCACCAGAGGGCCTGTGCTTCCACCACTGGACAATATCACAAGGCCACTGGAACCATACTCTGCCATAGTATCCACATTACCCGCGACGAACTGGGTTTGTTTCTGACCCGAAGCAGGCGAAGTACCGTTGCCGATGAACGTCATGTTGCCCACTACAAATCCACCACTGTTCACCCACAAACCGGCGCTAACATTCCAGGTGGCTAAACCGCCAGCGGGAACACCAGTAGCCGACGAATTAAGGGCCTCGGTGAAATTGCCTGCAACCACAATTTGCCCATTGGCAAGCGCAAGACTATTGACCACACCATTGACTCCTGCGCCCATGGCCTTCCACGAATTAGAGCTGACGTCGTAGATAGCAACGCCATTGAGTTTACCCTGCGTGGAAGCTGTGTTGGTGTCTGTAAAAGAGCCACCGACATAGAGCTCGTTGCCGCTCAACACGAAGGAGGTCACATGCCCATTTAGACCATTATTAGGAAGGGAAATGAATGATCCACTCTTGAATGCAACGATGTTTGAGACACCGCTTGTCGAGCCGGAGATCAGCTGGAAATTGCCACCGAGGTAAACAGTGCCAGAGGGGTGCTGTGCGACAGCTTTGACGGACACAGTGCTAGAAGTTGTAGCTCCCAGAGCGTTATAGAGATCAATGGATATCATGTCCAAAGAAGTCTCGCTTGTGTTGGGAATAGTTCCGGTAGCATCAATGCTCGCACTGGAGCTCAACGGCCACTCAAAGAAACCGAAACCATGCTGGGAACTGCTAGTCGCGTTGGACCCAGAGGACCCAGACCCGGCGGCAGATGTCACATCGGCCGATGTCAACACTAGCGCAACGCTACCGGCGACGAGTTCGTACTGCCCATCCTGACCAGTCCCTGCAGGATTATTCGCAAGCGTCATGGATACAGTGGTCACGAAGTCTGTTGATGAGGGGACGATGGGACCACTGTAGACAAGTGTGGTCGTATCGGACTGGACCTGCTGTGAAACAGCAGAAACCCAAGGTTGGCTTCCGCCACCTGGGAAGACGGTGACTTGGACAGATGTACGGAGGGGACAATCCTGGAAGTCTGCACAACCCGGAATGACAAGATATACGTCATACTGGCCAGATGCAGAGACGTAAGGCTGCCAAGTAAAACTGGGAGCCTGAGAAGGGGACGTGCCGACAGCCACTGTGGAGACTAGGACAGTTTGTAGTGTTGCGGGGATATTGGTGACAGCATCTTTCGTGGTCCACTGGCCTGTACTAGTGGTGTTGGATGGATTAGGTGAAAAGCAGGATTGCAGGTTCCCGTTGCTAGATGCGAACGCGCCAGAGGACAGCAGCTGCAACATATGCAAACCGGGAGCTTCACCTGTCCAGCCCGACAGAGTGATTTGTATACCGGTCAATGTTACCGGAGCGGTGAAAATGAAGTCCTGGTATAAGATTGATGAGTCGGTCGACAAAGGACAGGTAGCTGTGCATGTCATATTTTGTCCAGTTGATGGGTTGATATATGATAAAGTCTGTACGGTATTGTCTGGAATGGATGTCACACTGACGGATGCAAAATGAGACATCACAAATCATCCATCATTGAAGGACACATACCTAAAAGTCGTCGTGCCAAATCCACTCTGGAACGTGTTGCCAAGGCGAACACCATAGGCATTGATAGAGGAGAAGTCACGGATAGTAATTACAGCGCCATTTCCGTTCGCAGCCAACCACGTGTTGCCAGGTCCATCCGGACCAGCAGGACACAGTATATTCGAAATGTCGCTGAACTCAGGGTCAGATGACGATGGTTGTCCCAATATTTCCGCGCCTTGAAGAGGAACAGGAACGAGTGACGAAGAAAATGGCGTAGCGCCAGGAGAATATGGAACATTGGGATTATTGGTGTTATTTAGTGCAATGGCATTCGCGGCGAAGGCAGTGAGGAATGAGCCGGCAAAGAAGAGACTATTTTCTGAAGCGTTAGAGGTGATGGAAAGAACTTCTCCGCCGCCACCTGTGAAGCCTTTGAATGGGGGTGCGGACCAAGAATTGGACTTGGTGTCCCATATAGCTACAGATGAACCGGGCGACGTGAAGCTGCCACCCACCCATAACTGGCTGGTGGATACGTCACAATATAGCGAGTATATTGGGCCGTTAGGACCGTTTGAACCGAGCGCAGCAAATACGCCAGAAGAAGGCGTGTATGATGCGATGTTGCTGGCGGACACGGATGTATTGCCAATAGATGAGAAGGATCCGGCCAAGTAGAAGATATTATTGATGGCGCAACCTGATTGAATTGAGCCGCCAGCATTCGTAGTGCCAAGCGTAGTTAAGGCGCCTTCGCCAGTGCGAGCAAGTAAAGAAGACACAGAAGGGTCAAATGTTACAGCAGTAGAATTATTGAATAGACTGAGACCCGCAAATGCACCTGCAAGGCCTACTTGACCCATACGACTGAAATCGACCATTGGGAGTGACGCGAACGCGGGATTGGCGAGAAGAACTGTGAGGAAGAATGTCGAGGACCATCGTATCGAACTTGATGACTGTGAATGCATTTTTATGTAGTCTCCACGGTAACGTTCCAGGGTATAGAGACCCTGATGGAACCTAGTGTCCTCTACAGAAAGCCAGAGTTTAAGCGTCAGCCGAACGACGTTGAAAGGAAAGACGGTCACGGTTTTAAGCTTTGAATCTTCCCATCAAAACGCGTTCTAATAAACCAACACGTCCACGTGGACCAGGTCATGGACCTATTAGGCGGTGCACCGCACTTTTGACTGGACTGTATAATTGTCTTGACTGCCTCACGAAGTCCTCACACAGACCGTTAAATTATAAACTCGCAGCTTATTTCCGAGTCTGTGCACCCATCTCCGAACCGGAAGAATGTATCAGGAGATTTTTACATAGCAATCGAGGGGATCAATTAAACCCGAGCACTGCAGTGCCCACTTCTATTCTATTACTCCTCATCCGGATCTAACAGCAGTTGAACTCATGTCGGCAACGCGCCCGACTGGTTGTAAGTGAGGAGAGCCCGTATCTAGAATTCTGTTTGATCGTAATCCGGTACAACGTCAGTCATATCCTATGAGGCATGTCCAATCGAAGTCGCTCACTGAGGATATCTATAGCGGTGCACGTTTGGCCTCTTTGCATCGGCCTGCAAAATGGCATTGTCAGAAGCCTGTTGTGACAGCAATAAGTGCTTCTCGTTGATAGCTGCCCAGATTTCACTCGGCGTCGTGTACTGAGCAAGCCACCGAGTCAGATATACGTCTTGGTTTGGCGACGGTGCCCATTTGTAGAACCCGACTGCAAGCAGAGAAAGCAGGACTGTGTTACGCCAGAAAGGTGTAGAGAACCCAGCTGATTAGAATGCATAAATGAGTCATGACCTTGTTTATGGATGCGACCGGAATATCATACCTTCGCGTGAATAATGGGTGTCATCATGGTGCTCATCATGAGCATGACTGTCGTGCGATGCGAATCTCCGCTGAATGAGTGAAACGCTCCCGACTGTGTGCTTTTGGCGCAAGAGCAGGCTTGCTCTTGCCAACGACATTGTGGTTATAGATAGAGTTGCTCGTGCCGCCTCGGCAATTTACTTGCGGACTTGGAAGTCCGGATCAGGTCGTTCACACATCACAGTGCCGCATGTTGCGTGTTCCATGCTTCTGCAAGTATTTTCAGCTGCTATTCGACCAACGTAACCTTGGACAGCCCTATATATTCTACCAGAGTATGCAATTATTTTCCAGCAGAAAAATTAACTGAATTTGTTGTAGGACCTAAACCATGCTAAGACGTGTACTACCACGCTTGCCGCTTTTCCGGGTCTCTGCACCCATACTTCCAATATCGTCGCGGTTGAGTGCTCGCCCAGTACCTGCGATGTCCTTGACTGGCTCTCCACGTTTGTCGAGCCCGAGGCTGTTTCATCACGTCCCTGCTCGCCTTACGTCAACCATACCACCTCAAAACGATCCAGCATCACAGTTACCTCCAAACGCTACCCTTTCTCAAAGGCTGAAACACCTCATTAAATCCTATGGATGGTATGCCCTCGGAGTGTACATCGTCCTCTCCACACTGGACTTCACCATCGCGTTTGCTGGAATTAACCTGTTGGGCGCCGAGCAGGTCGCGTCTGCCGCCGCCTACATCAAAGAGACTGCTATCAGCTTCATCCATACCAAGCCACCAGAGCCTGGGCGTGATGAAATGGACGGCATTTCTGCGGGAGATGCGAGCCGCGAGGGCTTGTATGCCACCTTGGTATTGGCTTATACCATCCATAAAACGCTATTTTTGCCCGTCAGAGTTGGTTTGACAGCCGTTTTTACTCCTCGATTGGTGGGCTGGCTGCGTACAAGAGGGTGGGCAGGTGGTGAGGGCGCCAGGAAAGCAGCACGCGACATGAGGGATAGGATTCAAAGAAAGGATTAAAATCAGTTGATCGGCGGATCTGGGTAAGAGGCAAATTGTAACGTCGTCGTTTTATTCACACTACTCATGTCATAGTCATATATTACTTGCATGGCAATTACCTTTATTTGCCATGATCCTAATTTCACACTAGAGGGTCGATTGGAGACATTGCATGCAACCCTCTTTTGAACTAAGGTGCAGCCTTGAAAATGATGGCGGAAAGTAGAGAGCAACAGCACTTTGGGGTATACGCGGGGAAATCCAATTCGAACACGCTACACGAGTATGTTTAAATTCAAATTGAGTATATATTTTCAAAATTTGGGTGAAATCTGGGCATAAAAGTACTAGTAGCGGTGACTATAAGTGACGTGAATCACATAGCTGGCATCAGATAAGAAAAACGTAACGTAAGATCATAACTGACTCGATTGATTCAATGGAAAATGCCGAACACCGAATACTGAGCTTGACTTCAAAGCTTTAAAAGATTTTCTTCAGCTTACTTGTTCCCAATCCACTCCTGATGCAACTCGATAGCTTGAAGCACCCAAGATCCTGCAACCGTTTCTTCTCCCTTCCTGACATCGATGGCCGTTGGTGACTACTACCTCCCATACACATCGACGCCTTTTGAAGGCCCAGAGAAATTACTGGAAATCTGGTTCGCCCCTTCCCCTGCTCATGTGCCAGATGCACACGCACCAAAAAATGGCCGTATAGGCCTGAGGAATGTTCCAAAGCAAGTCTGGGAGGACATGCTTGACATCGTCAAATGCAAGGTCCTCAGTGTTATTGAGGGCGAAGAAACTGATGCTTATCTTTTGAGGTATGTGAATTGGTCATCACTCGCTTTTTTGTTTCCCGTATGGCTTGAAGCGCCCTTAATTTAATACTTTTTCACAGTTAAAGATCGTTATCGCTCATTTTTCTCTAATTTAGCGAATCATCTCTGTTTGTGTTCCCACATCGCATTATTCTAAAGACATGCGGCACAACACTAAACCTCCTCGGCCTTCCGCGCATCCTCGAGATCGCGCATAAATTTGCCTCACTTCCATCGGTTTATCGATGCTTCTACTCACGTAAATCCTTTATGTTCCCTGAACGCCAACTCGGTCCGCATCGAGAGTGGAAGGACGAAGTGTCATTCCTTGACGCCATATTTCCAAATGGAGCTGCTTACACTGTAGGCAAAGTCAATGGAGACCATTGGCTGCTTTATTTAACGACGCCTGGACAATCTGGCGCGAATGGCGAGACCGCTCCAAGCTCTCCCATTTCCTTTTCATCGTCCCCTCTTCATTCTGAGAATGGGGAAGAGAATGAGACAAACCATACTCTTCAAAATATTGAAATCGACACACCATTCACTCAGGATTACACAATCGAGATTCTCATGAGTAACCTGTCTCACAAGGCTCGCGAGTCCTTCTTCTTGGCTCCTCCAGTACAAGATACACCATCGGAGTCTCCGTCGGTCATCGGAAGGACTTTGTCCTCTACCATTGGGATTTCAGATCTGTTCCCGCCTCACCTCACTACATTGGATGCTTATGCGTTCGACCCTTGTGGTTACTCTTCGAACGCTCTCCTGAAATGGGGCGACGGAATTGAGGATGGCTGCGGTGGGGAGGGCTACTACACAATCCATGTGACCCCTGAGGAAGGCTGGTCATATGCAAGCTTCGAGTGCAACGTGCCACTATCCACTTCTCCGTCTTCTTCGGCCAAAGATATCCCCGATTTACATACGCTGATCAGACGCGTCGTCGACATCTTCCAGCCGGGCAGACTCAGCCTCACCCTTTTCATATCCAACGCCAACAACAACAATGCCGAGGAGGATGAGGATGAGACTGCTGTTGAAGCCGCTCAGCGGACTTTCAAGTCTGCTCTGACAGCTCAGCGCTCTGTGTCGTGTTCTTCTGGTGGTTCGGTAACGGGTGATGGGAGTGAACAAAAAGATCACATGTTGTACAAGAGAACCGACAAGATCAATTATCAATTTGGTGGTTACAATCTTGCGTTTGCGAGTTTCGAGTTTCGATGAAGATATCGCTTCGGTGGTGTTAGGTTGTACGCTGAAGTTGTCTTTCTTATCTAGATGCGCTCGTACCTTCCTGTCAATCTACTTTTTGCTACCTTCTTCGTTTCCGTTGTACGACCCAGATTTCGGATTACTGTTCGTCCATCTTGTACACATGATGGTGTTGATTATCATCAGCTGGATTGTTATGAACTGTCAGGTGCACAAATCTTCGATTCACAAGGTCAGGGCATGTTCAGGGCATAAGCTTTGAAAATTTGAAGGTTCCTGGTATCTGATAGATCTGACTCCTAATGCGCATTTGGTTATCGGCAACGTCCATAAACCGAAGCACCATCATGGGATATTGTTCATGGTCATGGGAGACCCTGGATAGATTTAGGGAACAAAACACCACGGTCGCTGGGCGCTGAGCGTTTCGCTGCACACTACCAGTATGTAAGTGTCAGAACAAAGTTCTTGGTGCTTACATTTTAATCGCCAGAACCCGAGTGCAGTTTGGGAGGCCGTTCGTGGCATGAGAATTTTCATTTCCATCCGAGTGTACGACAACCATCTCATATTTCACTGGGGGTACGCAATCAGTGTCCAGTATGGAAATGACGCATTATGCTAGAGAGGGTGAACGGCGTGGCCCTAGGCCAATGGCGTCTATGCATTTTGGACTAATCTGGCCATTCATGGATAGGTATTAATACCGCGCTAGCAGCCATCGTGAGCTGAAGTCGGCGGGCCGAGGCTTATTGCCTCTTGGGTTTCCCGGTTCTGGATTACCTGCCGTTGAGTTCCTAATATTGTCTACCGAGGAGGACGTCGAGATATTCTCGTGACCAACTGTCTTCGGGGTTGAATCCATCGCCACATGCCTGATGCCCCAACCTCAGGAGTATCAGAAGCATCAATCTGCGTATAAATTCATCCAAAAAAAATTAGCTTCAATGCCCCAAATTCCCGCTCTTGCTTAAGCGGCAGAACTCCACATCAGCGATGGTTTACAATATAGTCAACCTTCAAGCTGCCACGTCCACAGAAAATCTCCGGGCTCTTGAAGAAGTCAAGGATTTCTGTACGACAGATCTCGGACGGGGGGGCAAGGAACGATGGACATATCACATGCTACCAGAGGCTGCACTTGATGCCGAGCTGCATCGCATATCCAATGCGACCTCATCGACATTTGTAGACAGCGTCACTTTTCAGCCATGCGCGGCTTACGCTGATCTCAATCAGGACCGGTACAGCATTGAGGAGTGGGAGCTCCCTGGCGGAGTTTGGCAATTCACGGCAATCTATGATGGTGCTCTAACTTCTTTACGAACATCATACGTATCCCCTTGCAGAACTAACGGCTGGATTTTTGTAGGTCATTGCGGCCATGACACTGTGAATTATGTCCACAAGCGGCTTCCTTCGATAGTTAGGACGTCACTGCAAGTTCTTCTTCAGAGCGTACCTACCACATCCCTGAAGCCGGAATTTGTCTCGGAGGTTTTGTGCACCGCAGTCAGGCATCTGGACCAGTCTATTCGTTCTGACCTTTTGGACTTCTTGCCTCACGATCGCCTTACACAAATGAGCGACGCCCAACTCAACCAACACATCTTACATCGTTATTCTGAATGGAATACTATATCGACACGTTGCACTCAAGGCTCAACTGTACTTTTGGCTTTATCTGACCCACTAAAGAAAAATGTATGGATTCTCAATCTGGGAGATTCCATAGCGGGTAAAGTGCAGCCCTTATCATCTTATATCTCCTTCCTAACATTATCACAGTTCTTGGCAGTAGATCCTTCTCTGGGAAATGGTCAGCAACGATCATCAATTCTGTACATAATTGTCACAATCGCTCAGAAAGTCAGCGCATACGGCGAGAGCATCCAGAGTCAGAGCAAGCCTGTGTGTATGGCAACAGAGTGCTTGGATATCTGGCTCCGACCCGAGGTATTCCTTTTATTGAAATATTTTACATGACATATCCTAATCCTGAGACCTTGTGCTAGCGTTGGGGGACACATGGCTCAAGGTTCCTTCGGCTTACACTCGCCGCGCTTTTGCGCCGCACTTGCAAGACTGGTTACCGCCACATCAGGTAGCACAGTATGCCAGTCGTATTCTTACTCCTCCATATATATCCGACCTCCCTGAGGTCTATCACCACTCCCTCGACGTCTCTCAACACGAACTACTCCTCATTCTGTCATCTGATGGCCTGCAGGACTTGTATGACAATAACGATATTCAATTATCAGACCAAGAAATGGCAGACCGCTGGGTGGGTTTAGTAGGACGCCACATACACTCTGCCACAGACATGGATTTGCAAAGCAATTTAGCACTCAGGCTCCTGCGGGATGCTGTTGGCGGAGATAACACAGAGCTTGTTTCCCGAAATCTCACCTTGGAAATGGAAGATAAATGGATGGATGACATCACAATTCTAGTGCAGCGATTCCGGTAGAGATAGGTTCGGGATAGCGTACCCTGGCAGTATGTTACGGTACGTACGTATTTATTCTAGACCTACAGTAGAGATTTAATCATGCATTATCCACGGTTTAAATTTCCAAAAATGCGATCCACTATGCCATGCATGCTAGTCAAGTATTGTGCAGTTTCTCAAAGATGCACTTCCCAGATATCGTGATACACGCACGAATGTCGATCTTAGACATCATCTTGTATCCATACGGATGACAATCATTGGTTGATCCGATCCGTGTCCTATGGGGGATAAGCAGGCTCGAGTTTCACACTGTGAGCCGACTTGCTCCGCAAGTTGCACAAGGGACACAGACGAATGAATATTTCGACCATCGGCCAGGTTATAGTAGCCTGTGGAGTATTGGATAAATCAATAGTCAAAACAAAAGAACCACATACCATTCCCATACGCCTTGTCTCAAAGAGCATCGAAGAAGACGAGCCATGGGCTCGATGAGCGTAGACAAGGATATCGTAGATCTGGGTTTGTACTGGAATGCGTTCAAAAGCTCTCGTCCACTCAAAACCACCGAAATCGTGATCAACAGCATCGACTTTTGAAGAAGTGGTTCCGTGGTTGTCTATGTGACCAATATAATCTTTCCTCAGTTCTTCTTCTTCTGCCGCCTCGAGGTGGAAAAAAGAGTCCCGTGGTATCAATAGAAGGTGATATTTCTCAGATCCTAGCCGTACATGATGAATTGTTAACCACATGCGCAGCCGATCCGAAAGACCTTCCAAGTTGCCTTTTGACAACGCATGCGACGTGGCGGCGTAAATATTTGGTGCAAAAGCAGCAGTTTCACGAAGGTCCTGCGGCAAATCGTGGAGGAACCGTGCAAGGGTATCCTCAAAGGACTCTCGACTCGGCATCTCGGCAGAATTGACGCTACCGATCCTGTGGGAAACCGCATCAGGCAAAGGCGCAAACGACGGATGTACCCAGGATTCGACGAGGGACTTCGTGACGACCGTCCCTTGGTCAGAAGGAAAGGAATGTGAAATGAACGAGATTGAGTTATCAGGTTGGGTGCGTGGAATATTGTTTTGAGGCCCTGAACTGGAGGCGGAGGGCCGTCCTTGGCCGTGGTAGTCAGGAGTGAATCGACCAAAATGCGAATGGAGCGAAGGTTCACCCTCTTGAGAGCCACCCCTAACATGTGACGTGGATGAATCTGATGCTCCACAGCTCCGTGATGATGATGATGCCACATTTTGTCCATAAAAGCTATGGCTGTCTCTAGACTCATTGGGATCATTGTGCGCGAAGGCGGTATGCTCCTCTGGTGATGGCATGTCAGAGACGAGGAAAGATGCTGTCTTAGCACCGTATGGAGCCATCTGCCTATCCCGCGTCACACCATGATCGGATGGAACTTTATGCCTCTTCTTAGGAGTATAGTTGCACTCGGTAGCACTCTCCTCTTCCGCACAATGGTTGCAAACCGGCAAGTTACGGTCACACTTGTTCCAAAGGATAAATAAGATTCACATACTTAGTTGATCAAAGCATAAACATACCTTCATATTTCTGAGACGACAACGATCACACCGCGGGATTCCTCGGTGAGCAGGTGTTGGTAAAGGAGTATATTCGCAATCCTTTCCGTTCGCATATGAACAATGATTGCAAGTTGGAAGAACCCTATCACACTACCCGACAGTTAGTAATTTTGGAGAGGTCAATAGCAAGCTGGGGCACACCTTTAAGTTATTTACCCGGCAGCGATCACACCGTGGCTTCCCTCTGCGTCCTTTCCACTGCGACTGACGGGCCATGAACATTTTAGGATTGGGAATCCGGATTGTCAGTTGTCCATCATCATGCAAATCTTCAACAGAGTCTGTTGCATCGGGTGATTCAGACATGCTGTGTGAGGATGCTTTACTAGCTACAAGCCCCAAAAAATATGGGGGAAAATTCTGGACGAAAAAAATTGTATCTTAGGAAGTAAGAGAAGCCGAAGGTTGGTGAAGTTGTGACTAAAAACGGCCGGATGAGGCGGGGACAGAACAAGGAAAGAATGTACGTACAATAGACCCAAGAGGTGCGAGTGTTGAGAGAGCCTACAATATTCACAATGTTCCGTGTGAGTGGGTGGTAAAACTGAAAAATAGCGATGATTTTAAATCATCCAACACTTTGTGCGATCTGACTGAGTGGTAAGCTGTTTGCAGGTAGTTTTGTTCGAGTTTTGTTGCAAAGAGCGATCCAGCCTTGACCGAAATCTGAACTTACTTACGGATGTGACACTACTGTCACGCTACTTTTTAGGTCAAGGTGGTTTGAAAATCAAACGGGCCAGCAAAAATTACTGATGAAGTTCCGGACAAGGTTGGGGTCAGTCTTTTGTCTCTGCAATCGTTGTACATAGAATTTCGTGACATAAAAGTGTGTCAATCTGAAGTTACTACGGTGGCGGTAACCATGAGTATGGAGTTCGAGGTCCCTTGCAGATCAGTAGCTGAATGGCGGAGGCAACGCGGACTTTGTCGTTGTAAACAAGTGTCCAGCGCCAGTTGAGCGCCAGTGGGTCGTACGGCGGTGCATTGGCTACTTTCTTCTTCGACGATCTTGTCTCGTACTAGATGTTTTAGCTCAGCTCGAGTTGTTCTGAGAACAGCGATAACAGATTTCCATATATGGAATCTGTAGTTGAAGTGGGACAAGCAAAGTTCAAACGTTCATTCCTTGGAGCGGACTACTTCCTGGAATGTCCTTATTATCACAGAGCGCTTTGTACGTGTTCACCCAGTCTCTTAATTACCTGGCTTGGTGTTGATGCTCTAGTTAATGAAGGATCTTCAAATTAACCGCATGATTGCCTCAACAGTTGTTGACTTGGCAACATGTTGAATACTCAAGTTTTTCTTGCGCCATCATCCACATCTCAAGATTCTCAACGATTGCTTATTAGAGAGATCTTCATTCATGGATTCTACATCCTATCAAATCCAGCTTTAAAGTCTAAATGCCGTTCTTCAGCACAAGTGAGTGAACTTTAGCCCACGGTTTCGATCTCCTAGCGACTACCTGTCTCCTAGGATAATGGTTCAGAAGAACGCTAAGATGGTGGGGATGGCAGCGGTTCTGAATTTGCAAAGTTCTCGTCAGGAGGTCACCCGTACCCAAACCACGCTGACATTCTCATTCTGTTTAAAATTATACTACTGAACCCATACACAGTGAGAGTAAAGGTTCTGTCGCACGACCGTATTCGCATCCGATGACCGGCCAGCTGCATACGATGAGACACACCGGAATGGTAGTTTACGGTTGGGGGAGGGCTAGTGGGAGGGTAGGAAGGTTCGGACCCCAGGTCTCGTTGCGTTTAGCATACCGAGACCCTGCACCCACCTACCGAGGGACCTTTTCGGTCGTTTACGAACCGATTGCGAATATGGCGTCTCTGTGCAGAGATAACACTGGATCACTACAATCTTCTTGGCTGTATCCTGCTGCATCAAAGCCACAGCCCAGCTGTCTATCGGACCGAGGTTATCCTGGTGAGGTCATGATCATGTGATAGGCATTGAGACAAATACTTATTTGGATCTATTCAAATAAATGCACGTGTGTGCACAACTTAAACCGTTCGTGTACGAATGAAACGTTGTGGGCGTTCCAACAGCGTATGATTGCAGTTTCAGAACCGGCTGCATTTGTCGCGCGTGTCATTCCTACTTTCGAGCCAGTGCGTATAATCTTGTAGGGTTCCGACAGCACCATGACTGTGTTTTGCAGATTCGGAACAGGTTGCATCTGCTGCATGCATGTCATTCCCACCTCCGAGCTAGTGCGTATAAAATCGATGAGGTGTATTATGCTAGGTTATATCCCCTTCCTTTTGATCCACACATAAGAATTGACGCTCTTCATCATTCATCAACAAGATGTATCTTATGAATACTTTACGTGGTTTTGTGATGCCATATCTAGCATTAATCAATCTAGTGTCGTCAACTACGATGGACCAACAGGATGGTGTTGGTTATTATGACCCAACTGGCAGAGGCGGGTCGATGCTCATCAACGCTGGCGATGGATACGGTGAACCTATGAATGTACTTTTCTTTTCTCACCGTGACACCCTCGTCTACCCTGGCTGACCCCGAAGAATTAGGTCATAATCTCTGGTCTTAGCTCTCCTCACGTCCTCAGACTTGACGGAGCTATCAATTTTGCCCGTGCTATTGGATTGTAAGCATGGAAAGAATTGCAAACCGCATCTTACTAATTTGCTCATAATAGTTCTGAAGAATGTTTCGGCCTTCACTTGGGCGGTTATATGCCCGCCAACTTGGGAGATGGAAACGGATGGGTCAATCAAACCATTGAACTTCGCCAGGACTATGGAAATGCAGGAATCGGAACGTGTCTTGAGAGCATCATCGGAGGAAATCATTTTCGGTAAATTTATCGATTAGCTTGAGTGATCTAGCGTGCTGATGATATCCGTTCAGTATATTTGTACAGAACGGTACAACGGCGGACAGTGGCGCTCTCTTCCTAGCGTAAGCATCCTTAAATTGTCTTACTAGTAGCTTACTTGATGTGCCAGCGTGTCTCGAGAGGAGGTGCGTGATTCGGCAGGGTTCTATTACACATTTGAACGCCACCCTTAGCCCTTAACAGAGAACCATGATGTCGTGCCAGATGGGTACAATATTGGCCGGTAAGTAACTCCGTGATTGTAATGAACGGGTCACTAATCTAGTTTTAGCAATCAGCTGGTGTCGGCAGCGGTTGGTAAAACATGGTATAATGGGGTCAAATACCACACTGTCGCCCAAAACATTACTGGTCTCCTTAAAGCTGGCGCTGATGGTGTTAACCATGGTGAGCTTGATAGGTTCAATAGTTGCTCGTCTGACATCAGGGCCACTGTCAGGCATTGCTCAAGATGGTATTGTTACGTTATTGACCGTCACGATTTATTAAGAATCATATCACTTTTTCCTTTCCTTTGGAATTTCCCGATTCTTTGCTCGTCTCATTGTCGAGTATGAACAAGTGAAGATTCTAGAGTAATACTACAAGTGCTGTGACATAAATCAATATTTGACACTATCCTGACCGTTTTGGCCATAGAGTTCAGTTTCTATATAAAGAATTCGAACAAAAACCCATCACGTTCCTTGAAGTGGACTTGCCGACGGTCATCGGCTTTCACACCATTTGTGTTCATTGAATGACTGCCACGGTCACTGACCAGCAGAACACTGCCAGTTCACTGTGACGTGTGTCATCGTCGACAGCAACAGTGCATGAAGTGACGAAAGTATAAAATTGCAAGCCCGGGATCCGACGTTCCGTGTTTGGAACACTGCCGGGACCTACCAGTAATTATCGTGCACCTATGGTTGGACCACCGGCTAGGTGAGCTCCGATGACTTAATGTTCACCGGGTATGAGGATCTTCAAATTAACCGCATGAAGATCAACTGATGTTGAGTTGGCAACATGTCGAATGCTCGAGTTTTCCTTGCACCTAATTATCGGCTTCGCCGTGCACTGTGATCCACATCTCATTAATCATTAAAGAATTTTTCCTTCGTGGATTCACCATCCTATCAAATACTCGACACCAGCTCCAAAGTTTAAATGCCCTTTTTAGCACAGGTACCTGCACTGCAACCCACTGGGGTCTAGCCCAGGGCCTCAATCCCACCACAAACTTGGCTTCCCAAGCTGTCGCCCCTCTGTCTCCTGTTGCATTCAAGCCACTGCCCGTCATGATTGTGGAACAGGCATCGAAACAAATGCTTGGATCTTATTTTTGGATCTATTGAAATACTAGATACACGTGTGCACACATCACTGGTTTATAGGATTCCGACCTAGCACCATGACTATAGGCGGCTCTAAGGTATAATTGCGGGGTCGGAACCGGCTGCATTCTTTGCGCATGTCACGGTCATTCCCACCTTCGAGTCGGTGCGTATAAAATTCATGAGGTACCATAGGTGTGGGATGTTAAGTTATATCCCCTTCCCCTTGAATCACACATAAGAATTGACGCTCTTCATCATCCATGTATTTTATGAATGCGCTACTTGGTTACGTGATGCCATATCTAGCGGTGATATCCAATCTAGTGTCGTCACCTACTATGGACAAGCGGGGTGGTGTTGGTTATTATGACCCAACTGGCAGAGGCGGGTCGATGCTCATCAACGCTGGCGATGGATACGGTGAACCTATGAATGTACTTTTCTTTCATCACCGTGATGCCCTCATCTACTAATGTATAGCTTGACTGGCCCCGAAAATTTAGGTCATAATATCTGGTCTTAGCTCTCCCGCTGTTCTCACACTTGACGGAGCTATCAATTTTGCCCGTGCTATCGGATTGTAAGCACGGAAAGAATTGCGAACTGCGTCTTACTTATTTTCTCGTAATAGTTCTAAAGAATGTTTCGGCCTTCACTTGGGCGGTTATATGCCCGCCAACTTGGGAGATGGAAACGGATGGGTCAATCAAACCATTGAACTTCGACAGGATTATGGAAACGCAGGAGGCGGAACGTGTTTGGAGAGCCTCGTCGGAGGAAATCATTTTCGGTAAATTTATTGACTAGCCCGAGGGATCTAGCGTGGTGACAATATTCGTCCAGTATTTTTGTACAGAACGGTACTGCAGCGGACAGTGGCGCTCTCTTCCTAGCGTAAGCATCCTTAAATTGTCTTACTAGTAGCTTACTTGATGTGCCAGCGTGTCTCGAGAGGAGGTGCGTGATTCGGCAGGGCTTTGTTACAACGTCTGAACGCCACCCTTAGCCCGCATCAAAGCATCATGATATAGTACCAAATGGGTACAATATTGGACGGTAAGTAACACTGAAGTCTGATAGTGACGAACGGGTCACCAATCCAGTTTCAGCGACCAGCTGGTGTCAGCAGCGGTTGGTCAAACAAGGTATCATGGGGTCAAATACCACACTGTCGCCCAAAACATCACTGGTCTACTCGAAGCTGGCACTGATGGTATTAACCATGGTGAGCTTGTTCGGTTGATCGATGCAGTAGTTGCCCGTCTGATGGCCACTGTCAGACATCGCTCAGGATGGTATTATTACGTTGTTGACCGTTACGATCGATTGAGAATCATATCATTTTTTTCCTTTCCTTTGCGATTTCTTGATTTTTTGCTCGTCTCATTGTCGAGTATTGACAAGTGAAGATGCTAGAGTAGTGCTACAAGTGCTGTGTGGTGTGGTGTGGTGTGACACAAATCAATGAAGTAAAGCCAAATGCAAAGAATTCGAGAAAAATCTTGGACAGGACCAAAGGCTGTCGATCCATGACACTCACAAATCAAGATCCACTTCTCCCTCAGCATCTTCCTCATCCCACATAGACTCGTCATCGTCTTGAGCTGGCTGTGAGGACCCTAACGTCTCAGGTACCTCGGAACTTCGTGACACGCCGTCATAACCGCATTCGGACCACATGCGCTCTTCTTCCTCGGCTTCTTGGCAGGTCCGGCGTCGAACGCGATTAAGAACCGCGTCAAGCTGGATGTAGTTTGCATCGTCCATGGCAAACTTACGATGCCTCCGTTCCTGTGTGTGCTGAAGGATCGAGCGTTAGGATACTTATATACGAGATTAAATGCGATCTCACCGTGTCGAAATCATCGAACTTTACGCGACAACTCTCACAGTAGCCAGGTTTACTTCCTTCGTCACGCTTTGGTAATCGAAGGGTGTTTGTACTCCTACTTTTCCTGAGCAGTGGGCGATCTGGAATTGTAAGAGGGGGGCCCATGCCTCCCGCTTTTCGGCCGAGAGTGTGAGGTGCATTCGGGGCTTTTCGAGATGTCACGACTTGTTGTTGAATCCTAGACCGAAGAGAAGCAGGTAGTTCCAGCGTCCTAGAAGCACCACCCGCGGTGGATGTTGTACCTCTTGTGGATGTAATACCAACGCTATTGCCGGATGCTGCAACATATGAGCCCATACCTGTCGAAGCAAGGTAGCCCGAGGCGGTCGCTGACTCTCTTGTATCCCCATCTCCGTAGTCAGCATCAAGGTCAACGTATTCTTCAATAGTTGCCTGACGATGTAGATTATTCATCGACACCGAACGGCGGAGGTCGCCAGCTTTGCGCGAGAGCATCTGAACCTCCGCCTGCCTTTTCCGCTTCAGAGCCTTAGCCACCTTCTCCGCGCGCTCGTTCTCATTTTCTCTCTCTGCCTTTTGTGCCCTTTCCCAACGCCTCCGTTCCCTTTCATCAAATTTTATAAAAGGCCCCCGGGACCTTGGGTCACAGTATAGAACGGGATACGCGGGTTGCTCTTTCCCGTCGTGCCCTCGTTGTATGGGATATTCTAGAGCGTGAATCGTCGCTAACTCCTGCCGCACGTCTTCTATAAGCACGAAATAACTCTGTTTTGAGAAATATCGATAATCATGTCGCTTTTGAGTTGGGTCACGTTCTGTGGTGGTACCATGAAGGCGCTCGGTTTGAAGTAAGCTAGATAGTGACCGTTTGTTGGAAGCAGGGGCAAGAGAAGTGGCTTGTGCAAGAGGTTTCGTAGGGGAAAATGCAAAGGCTGGGGCATCACATCGTTCCAGGATGTTGTCAAGTTTTGCCGGGCTCCAAATCTTCATGTTAAAGGCCTTTGCCTTCTCCACAAGGTTGAAGCTCTGGGAGGTGGCATCCTCGGTAGTACTGTGAATTGATGATGTTAGTGTGGTCTACAATAGTGGAACAGCTCGACGCACCGTCCACGGAGCTTGATTGGGCTTTTCAGTGAACTGGCTCGTGCCGAGAAGCCTTGCAATCGATTCTCCTTGTTTGCAGCAGGGTCGATCGGAGTGATAGGTTGATTAGTGATAAGATGTGTAATCTCATTGGAGAAAAAGTCATCTACTTGCTAGAAGCCCGTCGATGGGGTGTCAGACGTTTGTGCAATTATCACGGAGAATCGGCCATACTGATTTGAGGTGCACCACCCGGGCTACTAATAAATCTCGCAAAGCAGCACTCTCAGGATCCGACAAATCCAAGTCGAAATAGAAGACCCATGCAGGAAATGCACGAGTGTACTTGAAACGAAACTCGGCCTTCTGAGCCTCCCTTTCTACGCGTCTTCGTTCCTTATCCTTACGGTCCTCGCCGTGGGTGGCTTCTGTTGGAGTAGGTCTCACCCGCTTGATAGATTCATCTGCTGCAGGGTCCGGTGATCGAGGACGTTTGAGCAACAGGGAAGCCGAGCGAACTCCTTGTTTAAAGGGAGACATGGTAGGAGGAACTTGAAGTGGCAGAGTTCGTGTACTTAGTGGACGGCGGTTGGTTGTAGGCATGATTGGGGAGCCAATTAAGGCTGAAAGAAATAGGACCACGTCACGCAAGTGATATGATGGACAAGAGGCAGGATGAGGAAAATGGTGGGAAAAGATAATATAACAATGTCCAACTTGACGGTGAGACGCGACTTAGCAACTACTCCTGGTGGGAGCACAAATAAACAACGCGTGCGTGCGATGGCAAACGACCAGGTATTACATTGATTCATCGTTTCATGATCAGGTAGTCTACTCGTCTGGTTATTATTTCAGTCTAACGCTGCAACTTCCGAAATAACTAGTACACAAAAACACCCGGCGTGGCTCTGCCAATCCAAACACCTGGAGGAGGCCCAGATCTAGGCGAGCTACCAACTGTCCCAACGGCAATATCGACTCATTGCACATTGCAAACTGGCAAAGGCACGTTGAAGGCATAATTGGGTGGCACGTGACAGTCACATGACCGCGTTTGATTATACAACTACCTTAGTACCTACCTATTAACGTGAAAGCAAAACAATAACAATAACAGTAGATATCAATATCGACGCGTAGGGATCATCCTGTGAGCGAGACTCAAATGAACATTGTGAAGACCATGATACGTCAAAATGACGCCATGAAAGTAGCAATACGTACAGGTA